ATTATTGAAATAACCTAGAGTCGAGTGACCGCTAAAGTCCACCTCTCTCAAACAACCATCATTAAATAAGTTACGACTTTGGAAATATGATTTATTATTCAACATGTAACACAGGGCAACCATTTGTTTTGCGGACAAAAAGTTTGAATAAAAGTATTCTATAATTATGTAAATAAAGAAAAGGAACATTCATATTGATTTAAGTATTCATATATTGTTCGTAACTTGACACATGCGATTCAAATGTACGTAACTAATTGACAAATCCCATTTTCCTTACCAAATTCCATATTTTCCACTTCTTTTCCCGCCATGATGCCATTAACAAGTCGTCTATGCTGTAAATGAGTTGTATCGTGTCGTTAAATTCTCGATCGCTCTTGACGGCGTAAAAAGAGAAGGAATATTGACCGACAAGCAACACTTTTCGTAATGACTACAGTTTTAAACATTTCAAAAGTATAGCCGATAAACATTTTGCCTTTTCTAAGATGAAATAAGAGTGGTTACATTTTACGACATTATTTAAGTAGGTCACACGATAGCGCTCCGTCTAATCGTGTCATTAGCGGATGTAACAAAGTTGACCGACACAGTTACGATGTTTTCTTTATTTTTGGGTGACGATATCTTAACAAATAGCCAAATCGATGCTCTTGTTGTGCAGTATTTGAAAAATTGAACATTAAATCTTTGCAACTGCACCTCGAATAGTTGATTTAAACACATAGGATAAAGTGGGGATCAAATCAAAGTTCAGGAGTATGAAAATGTCACATTTTTGGTGCATGTCAAACTGCAGAAAATGCATTTGACACATCTTTTTTTTCAAGTGAATTTTTTTTATTTCACAAAATGACATTTTAATATTATCTTTACATCAGACCCCAAAAATAATTATCAACAATTCATTTATTGAATTCTATTTCTTGAGTATTTTATCATCACACTGATAATCGTGGGTAACAAAGTGTCAACTTCATGAAATGACCCATATATAGATACACTTTTTATACGCCCACATTTTCATGTGGACGTATATTGTCGTCACCCCTGTCCGTCCGTCCACAATTGTTTGTGAACAGTCTACAGATCACAATTTTTATCCGATTTCAATGAAACTTGAAATATAGGTTTATCACCCTAAGATCTCGGTTCCTTTCAATATTGGCATGTATCGGACTGTAACTTCATGGATTATGGCCAGGGCTGCCGACAACCAGTATCGCAGCGCAATTTGCGATACATATTTTGTCCGTTGCTAATCAAAAATTAAAATCTAACGTTTTTGATTCGCAGTAACTGCGAATCATTAATATGCCTGTCATTTTGGATATTGACACAAAGATTTATCCACATTTCTCAACACTTTCAACGTGTATAAAATATCAAATAAATTTTATAAACAAAACGGAATTCTCCGTGTGACATTTTCTTCTCGAACTACCCAGACTCAATTCATGATACTATATAATACAGGGACATAACTCTATGAATCGGGACTATTAAACCGGAAATAGGGAATCAAGTAGTACCACTCACGTTGCGAGACATGTCAATTTCGAGTAATTATATCAGTATTCAATTTGAAAAAAAATAAATTCAGTGTATCCCCCACGTATTGTAAATAAAATATAAAAATAAATACGTGTAAACATATTGTAAAGTGAGAAATCAAAGTAAGAATTCCCGTAAACTATTATTGTTTATATCGCGTGTGACTAGTTAATCGAGATTATTCGTAAAATACCGCGCGCTTCCGATTGAACAAAAATAATAACACACGATAAAAAGCAGACGAAATTGTTTTCTAACGAAGAAATAAGAAGCCACTGCCAAGAATTGGCTTCAGACATAAGGCCTAACAAAAGTCTACATTCATTCAGAAATGTTCACAGCTAGCTTTAGAAGTGCTAAAATTCTAAAAAATCTTAAGAATGAAATCTAATCATTTGCTATCAATTAAAAGTAAAATAATTTTGTTATTTAGGTGTTTTATGTTGATTTGAAACTGAAAAACTGCTAATCAATTTTTAAATTTGCTAATCAAATTTGGCAAAATTGGACTTTTTGATTAGCAGTGCTGCTAATCATCTGTGAAAAATTACCGGCAGCCCTGATTATGTCCCCTGATTGTACGAAAAATCACGTTTTTATCTTATGAACACTGTAGAGGTCACAATTTTTATCCGATTTGGTTTAAACTTGAAATGTATGCTTATAACTCAAAGATCTCGGTTCCTTTCGATATTCACGCATATCGGAACGTAACTTCCTGAATTATGGCCCCTGATAGTACGAAAAATCACGTTTTTAGCTTGTGGACCCTATAGAGGTCATAATTTTTATCTGATTTAAAAAAACGTATTATTATATCACCGTTACACCCTAAGAATGGCTGAGTTCGAATTTCGCGAAAATGGGCCCAAAACTGACAGACAAAATGGCCGCCGTTCGTTCTCAATAGCGTAAAAATATGGTATATCAAGGTGGACCCTATAGAGGTCTCAATTTTTATCCGATTTTGTTGAAAATTGAAATGTAAGTTTATAACCCAAAGATCTTGGTTCCTTTTGATCAATGCACATATCGGACCGTAACTTCCTGAATTATGGCCCCTGATTGTACCAAAAATTGCGTTTTTAGCTTGTGGACCCTATAGAGGTCATAATTTTTATCTGATTTAAAAAAACGTATTATTATATCACCGTTACAGCCTAAGGATGGCTGAGTTTGAATTTCGTGAAAACCGGCCCAAAACTGACAGACAAAATGGCCGCCCCTCGTTCTGAAATAGCGTATAAATATGGTATATCAAGGTTGTGGACCCTAAAGAGGTCACAATTTTTATCCGATTTTGTTGAAACTTGAAATTTTAGTTTATAACCCAAAGCTCTTGGTTCCTTTCGATATTTCCGCATATCGAATTCTAATTTCCTGAATTATGGCCCTTGATTGTAGGAAAAATCACTTTCTTTTTAGCTTGTTCTCTATCCATCTCTCGAAATGTGGGCGTATCCTGCCTGGCAGCCACTGGTTATGATTGTGGACGAAACGTTATGTGCATCTCAAGAAAGCTTTGCCTCAGAACCGTCCCGTCGCCATTAAACATCCAACATCTGTTTCACTGTAGTGATCTTGAAAAAAAATCCCCGGACAATGACAGGCATCCTGAAAAATATTTCACCATATCGCAACAGGTCAGAACTAAAACTAACACTTATTAAGTATTTAAATACCGTTCAGCGAATCTAATATTGTGCGGTAAAATAAACATTCGGCGGCAAAACTGAACGATGACCCACAACTAAACACATCATAATATCTGAACATCATACGTGAAATTGGATGTTTGACAACAAAATTGAACACCTTGCGTAATTGTACACCTTGACTAATTTTAAAGATACAATTTCATATTTTCTAAGAAAGTCAAAACATAATTATTTCTATGTCTTTTGCTCAGTAGGTTGTCAACTCACTATTAGGTGTCATTCTCACACTTAAAACTCATTTACACCAGAAATAATAACACAATTACCTCCCTTGTTTTCTATTCTCCACCATGGAGTAGTTATCTTCAAACGTTGGAATTTGAAGATGAAAATGACATTTTTGCCAATTTCTCAACTGGCAATAGTGAATTATAGCATTAATAGGATTATTCTTTAACAAGGTAGGACTGTTTATAGATATCATCTATTTTAAGGCTTTATTTTAATCAATTTTAAAAATATAACTTAAAAATATGATATTGCAACTTTAATCACGGCTCGGGAAATTGAACGGTCCAACTAATTATTGAACAGTCGTGATAATTAAGCGTGACGCTTATAATTAAACACGTGTCGACAAACTAAACACTAGTTAATTAGACGCTTGGTAATCAAAATTAAACACTGAGATTTAAATTGGATACAAGTATAAGTTGACCACTATTAGCCGAAATTCAACTATAGTTATGAATATTTAGACAAAAGACAGAAAGTACCGCTATTTATGCGAGATTAAACGATACCAATTTTCTGGTATTAAAACGTGTGAAAAAAGTAAATACTGACCAATCAGATAAGAGAATTACCCCCTACGTAACATTACAAAGGATTCCCTTTGTAACTCAATCAGTAAACAATGTCATGGGCACGGAAAAATTCCACATAAAATACATAATTTGGTTAGTCAGATGATTATACTAGCAACAGTTGTAGTTGATTAAAACAGCTACATGTAAAGTTATCATCGTTACCAGTACATGTTTTGTATAATAAGTATATTGAAGAACTAGAAGGAAATCAATGAATAAGCAACAATCCTGGTGGACTGCTCAGATGACTTAGCTGCTGTGGGCATATGTTACGTTGCTGGCAACCTGTCTTTAGCAAATATTTTCAAACGTTTGAACACATAAAGAATCCTTATCAAGTTCAATCAATATCTAAATTTTCTCTGTGGAGATATAGTTGCTGTGTGGGTGTATTTGTAGAAATATTAGGTACACGATTTGAATATTTCAAACTAAGATTAATGATAATTAGTTTGAGAAGAGCTGATATATAAAAAATTATGACATATATACCGTTCATTCAGAAATGGGAATCACGTGGCTAAGTGGGTAAGACGCTAGCTCGCTAGCCTGGAGGTCGGGTGTTCGATCCCTGCATTGGCCGAGAAAGTTCATCCAGATTTTCCGGCGTGGTTCTCCCTTGTCAGTGATGTAGGACGGAGGGGCTGACAAGGAAAGCTGTCTAGTCGTTCGGATGGGACGAAAAACCGAGGTCCCGTGTACACATTGGCGTGCACGTAAAAGATCCCTTGGCAGTTGGAATTCGATATAAGAGTAGGCCGTAGTGCCGCTGTCCGGGAAAAATTTCCCTCATTGCACACTGTATGGCGTATGCTCGTCTTCATTAGCCCAGGTTAGGAGCAGAACAGTAGGACGTTAAACTCCATTTCATTTCATTTCATTTCATTTTTCATTCAGAAATATAATTTTATTTTAGCCACCACTGGAATCACTGGCAACAGTCGAAGAAACTGTAGTGCGTGACAAAGCAGTTGACTCTTTACGCTTGATAGCAGCTCAGCATTCTCAAGCTGATCTGGAAAATCATTTTGTTCCTTTGGTAAAGCGGTTATCTGGAGGTAAGTTGGACTTAAATTTTCCGGTTTGCCTTGCAGACTAATTCATTTCAGTGATGTTAAGTCTGACTAGCAAATGGATGTCATTTTGTGTGGAATGTAACACAGAGCTGGCAGAGTGGGGTGTAGGTAGGTAATTCAAGCATCCATCTTTATACTCCTACATGTACATTGGATGCTCTAAATGGTAAAGTAACAGGTAATCATCCGATTAAGTAATAAAGTGTTGGCTGATGTCAAATGTAATCAGACAATATTTATGACATTTTCCATTCATTGGGCAACAAAATATTCTGTATACATAAAATGTATCCATCCTGAGCTGTTTTAAAGATACATTATGTAAGAGCTAAATCTGCCTATTGCAGGTTTTTCTTTTGGCTTCAAATGTTATATAAACTATTATTTAGACATGTATTCACATGACAAACCGGTAATCTACTCTCTAGAACATCTGATGACAGAGATTTGAATGGATTATAATGCCCACCAGATAAAACTGAGTTGTTTGTCCAGTATCTTTGCTACGATAGTAAACAACACTTATATCTTTGCTAAGTCAAAAGTAATTTGAATGAAATTTTCAATATATTCATTTTTCATTATCTTCCTCTATATCTTACATAATGCATCTTTAATAAACACCATTTATTTTTGGTAACAAACTACTCTTGAAATTTTGAAATAATGGCTACCGTGACTAATTCCAACTACCTCACATGGAAATCATGGCATATCATATATAGGGTATTGCTTACTGCAGAACTAATAAACTGGTTCAAGTCTCATGTGCAAATAACATATCTGATAATACATGTATGCAGAAGTTAGCGGATGTAATTTAAAAATATCGTTTAATAAGGAAGACAACAGATCTTTATGATAGGTAATTATTGGGAATATAACTCACAGTCACATTAATATGAAGCCAGTACAGGAATCAGATATGAAAAATAGTGAGGTGAACAAAGACGTCTGGTTACCAAATTCTGACCTCTCCTCCATTAACCCCAACTAAAAATGTCTGATGCACAAAATTTTAAAAAGTTGTCCATGGTACCGAGTAATGTTTATTTGACAAAATGTTCTTCAAATAAGAAAGTTTATCATTACCTTAATAAAACCTTTATGGCGATTTATTAATGTAAAAAATCTGATCAAAATACAGATCTATATTTTTCGCTTCGTTTTTTATACTTTCGATGGCCTACACTACATGAAGTTCTGACCAGTTGTTTGGGGGGTCACGTCAGAGGTCATATGAGCGGTTTTTGACCCTATGATGTCAGATATTTGATTAACCAATCAGCATTGATGTTTCTAGTGGATTACCCACAATTTCTTGCAGCTCGCGCTTAAAGCTCGTCTAACAGACCGTTTCATTGGCTAATCCCACACATCATCCAGAACACGTCAATGATAACCACCCTACCAGATCCTAGTGTAGTAAAGACAAGTAAAACAAAATTTTGAACCATAAAAAACGAAACGAAATAGAATCTGTGTTTTAATCAGATTGAAATAAAATATTTTGAAACAATTCAAACACTACACCTACTGTTATTGTGTGAAAACACTTGATTAATGGTTTAGGTTGTTCAGCACGAAAGAAGTTGGACTATTATGTACAGTATAAACCTTTTCAGTCATCGATAGATATATATATTTTGAAATACTTAGCATGTTCTGTATTATCAGTGTGGGTGAAATGACTATGTTCTAGGCGACTGGTTTACCTCAAGAACTTCAGCATGTGGATTATTTGCAGTATGCTATTCAAGAGTATCCAACAATGTTAAAGCTGAGCTTCGACAGTAAGTGATATTTTTGTACACCATATTTCCCAATTCCGTCATCTATTGCCACACCAAAAGTGGGCATATACGTTTGTCTCAGTTATCATACATTCATTGTTTTAAAAATCAAATTTCTTCTGGCAGTAAAATACTATCATCCTATGCAGCATTCTGCACATTATTGTTTATATCAATTTTCAAATCAATAACAGACGGTTATGGTATACTGAAATGCTTTAATATCACCCTGAATGCTTTTTATACGCCCACATTTTCATGTGGACGTATTATGCTGTCCGCCCTGACGTCCGTCCGTCCACAATTTGTTTGTGGACACTCTACAGGTCACAATTTTTATCCGATTTTGTTGAAACTTAAAATATAGGTCTATCTCCCAAAGATCTTGGTTGTTTTCGATATATTTGCATGTATCAGACCATAACTTCATGGATTATGGCCCCCGATTGTACGAAACATGTTTTTATGAAAATTTAAATTGTTCTGGGAATTTAATCCATAGGGTTATGGCATTGTTGTAAAGAACCTGATATTTAATAGAACAAATTGTACCTCTAACACCATTCACTATACATATTGGTTGCTTGATTTCCTGAAATATCCTGAATTTGTGAATCGAATCTCAAAGCACGTATATATGTTACAGTCAATTTGTGTAATTAGTTATTTCAGTTATTATGTGAAATGCCTGTGGGCAAAAGGCAATACGTGCAATAACTGAAAATTCCAGTCATTACATGAAATCACTTAAAATCATGGGCAGACATTACGCGAAATGACTGAAGCACTGTCAAACCACAAAAATTCACTGTAAAACATTTTTTGACTTCACATCCAATGTTAAAGCATACATTGCAGAATATTAATTATTTTGAGGCGGAAGGATAACAGAGTTATCAGGTTGGCTACGGTGATATGTACGGCAACTAGTTACATGTTTTTAGTATGCTTCTTCAAGTTTGTTTATCTCAAAACTTTGGTGGTCAACCTCATACAAATTTTAGTGCAAAGACATGACCATTTGTTCCTCTGTCTGTAGTGAAAAGCATTCAGCCCAACGAAAATTTGGGGAAAAGTTGGAGATGGGCAAAGAGGCCAATTTTTCCCTTAATTTTTTTCTCCCCTCTTCCTGCATTTTTGGGTTGACTTTTTGGTCTAGAATTGGAGAAAAGGGATCAAATTTGCAATTTCATAGCAGTGTTGGGTAATACTGATGATATTAGAGCGGTGGGATAGGGGGTGTAAAGTGTCTTTCTGCAGAGCAATCATTGTGTCGGAAGTGATATTTTCACCCCAGTCAACATCAAATCCCCTTAGCAAAAAATCTAAATGGTCAACGCCCTACAAATTTATGATGAGGACATTGCCAAATGTGGTCCCAATTGAGCCTATAAAGATTGGAACCAACGGAATGTTGAGCAAAAAGCTACAGCCTGTGATGTTACAGCCATTTCACATTGAAATAATTGCTAGTCTGAGTCCATGTGCAACAAAGATTGAAAGCGGAAGTGCGGTTAAGAGTTATCTTTCTATGGGATCGTTTATTTTTCCGGGAAAATACCGTATTTTAATGACATGCAGAAATAGTCACGTGATCAAATTTATTTCCGTAATATGCATGGAGAAAATCTCGAGTGGAAAATCTGAAGTTGAAAGTCGAATGTCAAAAGTTGATTATTGAAAGTAGAAATTCTGTTGTTGAAAGTAGAAATTCTGTTGTTGAGAGTAGAATATTTACGATTGAGCGGTATATGTTTCCCACACGAAAATGTCCATTTTGGATAAGAATTTTCTCTTTTGCTTTTTATTTTCTACTTTCTACTGCAGATCGCATTTTGAACCTGATACCCTGCCATACTTTGTATGTATGTTTTATTGCAGGAAAACTTATCTTTACCTTTACTTTTATTAGGCATTTCCGCAATTTGTGTGGAGATGACACACCAATGGTGCGAAGAGCAGCTGCCGGTAAATTAGGGGAATTCGCAAAGGTGGTGGAAGTGGATTTCTTAAAATCGGATCTTATTCCTTTATTTAATGCATTAGCTCAAGATGAACAGGTATTTAAGTTTTTATAGGCCAACAATTGTTGTGTTTTGGTATATTATGCCATCATCCCATCCCTTGGTCTGTCCGTCAACAATTAGCTTGTGAACACAATAGAGGCTACAGTTTTTAACAGATCTTTCAAATTTTGTGTACAGCATTGGGACCATGAAAGAGACAAGCCCATTCGATATAAGCTAATTGTAAGCTACATTGTAACCTTTACACAGTTCATGATCGAAGTAATTATTACCAACGTTAAATTTGATAATCCCGTAAATATACAAGCTCGATAGTTATTCACAAAACAATAATTTTTATCTGTAGCCATTTCCCTTCGTAAGAATTGACCATGTTTTTGGGGTTTTTTTTATGTATAAGCTTATTGTTTAACAATTAATAACATACAGCAGCTGATTGAGGTAGGCAAAGGTTGTTGAGCAAACCTTACAGGTCACAATTTTTATCAGATTTCAATGAAACTTAAAAAATTGGTTTATCTCCCTAAGATCTCGGTTCCTTTCGATATTGGCATGTATCGGACTTTAACTTCATGGATTATGGCCCCTGATTGTACGAAAAATCACGTTTTTAGCTTGTGGACCCTATAGAGGTCACAATTTTTATCTGATTTTGTTGAAATTTGAAATGTAAGTTTATAACCCAAAGATCTTGGTTCCTTTCGATATTCGCGTATATCGAATTGTAACTTCCTGAATTATGGCCCCTGATTGTACGTAAAATCATGTTTTTTAGCTTGTGGAGGTCACAATTTTATTCCGATTTGAAAAACATTTGAATATATCACCATTACACCTTAATTATGGTCTAGTTCGAATTTTGTGAAAATCGGACCAAAACTGCCAGACGAAATGGCCACCCCTTGAGAGGAAACAGTGTAAAATTATGGTATATCAAGGTTGTGGACCCTCTAGAGCTCAGAATTTTGATCTGATTTTGATGAAACTTGTAATACATGTTCATAACCCAAAGATCTTGGTTCCTTTCGATATTTGCAAATATCGGATCATAACTTTCTGAATTATGGCCCTTGACTGTACGAAAGATCATGTTTTTAGCTTGTGGTCCCTCTATACGTCACAGTTATTTTCCGATTTTAAAAAAATGTGTGAATATATAACCGTACACCGTATTGTTGGTTAAGTTCGAATTTCATGAAAATCTGACCAAATCTGCCAGACAAAATGGCCGTCTGTCTACGCAAATAGTGTAAACATCTGGTATATCAAGGTTGTGGATCTTTTAGCGCTCACAGTTTTGATCCTATTTTGATGAAACTTAAAATGCATGTTTATAACCCAAAGATCTTGGTTGCTGTCGATATTTGCGCATGTCGGCTCGTAACTACCTGAATTATGGCACCTGATTGTACGAAAAATCCTGTTTTTAGCTTGTCGTCCCTAGAGGTCACAATTATTATCTGATTTACACCGTATTGTTGGTTAAGTTCGAATTTCATGAAAATCGGACGAAAACTGCCAGACAAACTGGCCGCCCCTCTACGCAAATAGTGTAAACATCTGGTATATCAAGGTTGTGGACCCTCTAGAGGTCACAATTTTGATCCGGTTTTAATGAAACTTGAAATGCATGTTTATAACCCAAAGATCTTGGTTCCTGTCGATATTCGCACAGATCTAATTGTATCTTCCTGAATTATGGCCCTTGATGTTGAGAAAAATCGCTTTTTGTTTAGCTTGTTCTCCATCTATCTCTTGGAAAATGTGGGCATATCCTGCCTGGCAGCCGCTGTTTTTTTTTTGTTTTAGCTTGTTCTCTGTCTATCTTTTGCAAAATGTGGGCGTATCTTGTATCGCAACCGCTTATTTTGTATTCAGATCAAGATATGCTATGTGACATACACATACACACATAAACATTAGTCATATGTACCGGTAGAAATTATGGCCTTTATAGGTCAGTCAGTAAATACCATGAAAATTTATGTATTTGCTATTGAATCAAGAGGAACTGCTTATCAATTTTCAGATTGATTAGCACTTTTTTTGTTTAAACATCCTATAGTTGCTAAACAGTACTTTTTTTATGATATTAGACCGGGAGCCCAGGGGGGTCAACCTAGCTGAAAAGTGTACCAATTTTCTCCTATATGGTATCAATGTATGTATATCTGGTATCATCAGAATGTAAGTCTGCCGGGTTTCTGGTGGTGGGTGTGGTATTCCACGCCCTAAATGCCATGACCCCCAACTAGGCTAGATTAGCTCAAAAGTGTACCAAATGAAAATCGTACAGCAGGGATACTCCATCACTACAAATGTCTGGCAATTACATAGCTTTGTCAGGGGTATCCCACCACTAGAAATGTCTGGCGGGGTGTTTTTGTAACATCTGAAGATGTGCGGTACCTTGCTGTGCGATTTTCATGTGGTACACTTTTGAGCTAATCAGGGATAGAACTTTATTTGAAAATACACAAGCAAAATTTTGCTTGTTGATTTCAAATGTACAAGCAAAAATAGTATTTTGAAGAAATTCAAGGGGCAATTTTTTTCTTTAATGAAAAAACATAAAAAAAAGTTTGTGTTCATTCGGCCGTACATATATTTATAGCTACCCTTGAAAACTCATTTTTTTCTCATTCAAGCGTATACCTTCTTGAGGATGCATTATATATAATTAAACTATAAAACATAAGTACTATGTCAAAAAGTGTCCATTGATTTAGCAATTTTTCGGATCACGGACAGCTGTGCATGACACGTACGTCCGACGCTGAAGTGAATGATAATTAAATCAGTCTACCGGAACTCTCGGCATTATTTATATTTCTGTTTTATTAATATTTATTTCAATCTGAAAATCAATGATTCCTTTAGAAAACCAAAGTATTGGTATAAACAATTTGTCAAGATTTATAGAAATTGAAAAGAAACGGATAATGCTAACGGGTGGAAAAGTGAGCGAGAAGTCACGTGACGTAAACAAAGCTCCTTATATTATGGTATTTATTCATCATTAAGCAAAAAAATGTCGTAAATAACATCAAAAGGTAAACATTTTTTCAATATTTGTGTTAAATATCATCCAGAAAAATCAAAACCACGATATATCCCCGTGGCGGTACGTGTTTTTTTACTATTATTAATAAACTGTTTGTGTCCGTGAAAGCAACGTATATTTTTGACCAATGTCAGAATTTGTTTGATGGAATATAACGACAATAATGAAAGGACAGAGAGTCGAACACTAAAAGAGGTCATTTATGATATGTGTGTATTGTTTTTAGCCGATAAAATATAAGATTTTTACCCCGATCAGTTCGGGGGAAAAAAACGCATGCGCAGATGTCACAAAACGCCCGATATAGACATCGCTTTATTTACATTTTGCAAGGAACTTAGGACGGAAAATAATCTATAGAATTTCCTTTTTTTGTCATAATTATCGTCTTGATTTTGCGTAAAAGAAGAAATCATGTTATTCAGTAACAATAAGCGAAAAAATGTTACACGCATTTTTTTTCGTGTGACATATTTTGTGACACGCAGTCTACAAAATCAACACTCATTTTGCGTGTTTGCGTCCGTCAAATTCGATCCCTGGAGCTAATCTAGACTAGTTGGGGGGCATGGCATTTTGGGCGTGGAATACCACACCCACCACCAGAAACCCGGCAGACTTACATTCTGATGATACCAGATATACATACATTGATACCATATAGGAGAAAATTTGTACACTTTTCACCTAGGTTAACCCCCTGGGCTCCCGCTCTATATGCCCTGCTAGATGTCATTTTGTTATTAAACTTGTAGTTCAGTGATAAGGGTATTATGTTTTTAAAAGAAAACCTTATATTTTAGATGTTGCACAGAACTGGTTGTGACCATAATGCTTCATTGCCCAGCAACCTGTGTTTCTAAATATTTAAATCTCTTTTAAAGATAACACTTACTAGGTACAGTACAATATTTAGGACACAATATAACAACTTCCTTTTATTTTAGGATTCTGTCAGATTATTAGCTGTTGAAGCTTGTGTCAGTATTGCTTCCCTACTTCAGTCGGAAGATGTAGATCTACTTGTTATGCCTACCTTGCGTCAAGCAGCTGAAGACAAATCATGGAGAGTTCGTTATATGGTAGCTGACAAATTCACTGATGTAAGAACAACATATTTATTATGATTTAAGTGGAACTATAATTATATTGTCTGTGCTGTCCGATCTAAAATACATGTTCAAATTATCTCATATTGATTTAAAAGACAATTGATTAACAATTGACTGGGCATGTGTAATAGATCGGAAGGGTTGGACAACATGAAAAATTTACAAAGCTTAGAAAACTTTTCGTGACAAAAAAACCCTCTAGCCATGTACTGGAAAAAAGAATCGCCACAATGAAAAAGCTACCTGCATTTCATGCTGAAGTTATTAATGATAGTCAACTGAAACTGGATTGTAGACTATTAATTTATTTTAAATGTTTCAGTTGCAAAAAGCTGTTGGTCCAGAAATTACTAAAAATGATTTAGTTCAGGCTTTTCAAAATTTGTTAAAGGACTGTGAGGCTGAGGTTAGAGCTGCTTCTGCTCACAAAATCAAAGGTAAGGTTTTCATTGTCATAATCCATGCTCCAGGTGTGCTTTGCAAACCATTCTCATTTTCTTTGCGTATCGTTTTTATACGCCCACATTTTCATGTGGACATCTTATACCATCACTCCTATCAGTTCCGTCCGTTCTTTCGATATTGGCGGGGAGTCACGGTGGATAAGTGGGTAAGATGCTGGCTGACTAGTCTGGAGGTCGCGTGTTTGGTCCCTGCATTGGCCAAGAAAGTTCATCAGGATTTTATTTTTGGCGTGGTTTCCCCTTGTCAGCTGTCTAGTCGTTTGGATGATCTGAAAACCAAGGTCCTGTGTACACATTGGCATGCACGTAAAAGATCCCTTGGCAGTTGGAATTTGGTAGAAGAGTAGTCCATAGTGCCGCCGTCTGGGCAAAATTTCCTTCATAGCACACTATATGGCGTATGCCCGTCTTCATTAGCCCAGTCGGAGGAGAATAGTAGAATGTTAAACCACATTTCATTTCGATATTGGCATGTATTGAACCGTAAATTCATGGACTATGGTCCCTGATTGTATGGAAAAATTGTGTTTTGTGCTCGTGAACATTCTAGAGATCACATTTTTTATCTGATTTTGATGAAACTTGAAATGTATGTTTATATCCCAAAGATCTTGGTTACTTTTGCTATTGGATCTTAACTTCCTGGATTATGGCCCTGATTGTTCGAAAAGTCGCATTTTTAGAAGTCACAATTTGTTTTCAGTTTTAAAAACTGTTTGAATATATCACTGTTAAACCCTAATAATGGTTGAGTTCGACTTTCGTGAAAATCCTACCGAAACTGCTTGACGAAATGGACACTCCTTGTACACAAATAATGTGGACTCTCTAGAATTCACAATTTTTTTTATCCGATTTTGATGAAACTTGAAATGTATCTTTATAACCCCATGATCTAGCCCATATACCAGGCTAACTTTTGCAAAAAACGTGAAATATGTACAAACTCCAGAAAATATACAATTACGCAAATTTTTTTTGGGGGGGTCCAAGTAGCATGCGAACCCTTGTAGTACCATAGATCGTCTGTCAGACGTGGAGAGCGGACGCGTGTAACCTAGGCTTGGGCGATAATGAAAAATAAATATCGTGATAATAATTTATCTAATATCACGATAAACGATATTATCGTGATAATTTTTACGTGTGTCTATAGAAGTCTAATTTTGAATTCTTGTGACGGTCTTGACCCCTGTCTTGTGTGCATACTGTATCAAATACTAATAAAGAAAAAGGTATGTTGTATTTATCAGGGTATGAAATAAGCCTCTTATATGGTAACCTCAAAATAGGTTACGCTAATCTGCATCAAATTTGAACTGGTAACCTATAGGTTACGATGCCATATTTGTTTAGAGCCGCCCTCGAATTAGCCTAGGGGGATTTGGGGCCTATTAAAAGATTAGCCAGCTACCCCTAAGCTTATTAAATCAGCAGGGCCCATATCCCTAAGCGAATTAGTGGATTATTGTTAATACTAAAACTCTCTACAAAATTGCAAATAACTAAATAAAAAAATTTTTTATACAAAAATGTACAGATTGTCGTGTTCTTTCCAATGATATAAAATTCAATTGTACAAACTAACAATTACCGGTATATTACTATAAATAATATTGAAAAGTCAGTTCCACTAAAATTATGACTTTTCTCTGTCATAATAAACGTGAACATGTATCTCCTAAGATTTTATTTAAAAAAAAAGAACAGTGTTCAAAGTAAATATAAATATATAACTTTTAGAAAGAAATATCGCCCCAAATGACCGTCACTTCATCGCTATGTGACATTTCTGCCTTTGTTGGATATATGGTGGGAATTGTCGTCTTCTTTGCTTCATAGCATCGAAAATAAAAATATATAGTTGCAATGTAATATTCCTCTATGTAGCTTGTATTAAATCCTAAAAGTTTTGATTCAATTTAGCTTTCCAAACTCTAGAATTATTATCCGTAAGTTTTGTGGTATCGTCTGTCTGGAAACGTATCCAAGATATGGCGGCCGACACGCTTGATCTCGGCTGCTTCGCATCATTCATAACGTCCCCCAAAAATAACAAATAGTTGATTTCTTCGACATTATCATGTTCTACGATATGCCTGGCAGTAAATCATAAAAAATCTTATTCCATTTCACTTTCCATGTCATAAAATTATTAGCCGTGAGTGACAACGTGAAAATATTGGAATAATGCCAAAGTCATTGACACGGTGTGAATTTTCACCTCTGACCTATTACGTAAATACCGGAAGATCCATTGTTGAAAAGTATGTTTTTTATTTGATAATTTGCGAATATAACATTCCTTTTCATTGGGTGTTTTATTTTTATTACTCAATCACCATTAATTTAAGAAATAAAAACAATAGAAATCAGTTGATTGATCTGGCGCTTTCGTTCGCTAAAGAGGCAAATGAGTATGTCGTTGCCAGGTATGATGGGTCCGCGAGTTGATTTGCTACCGCCAAAATGACAGGTGCGAACTTAACGATCTTTCAGACATTTATTTATAATTGTAAAATGTTTTAATGTAGTAGTGGAGGGAATATTTTAACTGAAACCTTTAGTTTATAAATTATAGCTCGGTGGTCGAGAACGGAAGTCCATTCGCGTGTTTCCAGGTCATGGTAACCGATGCGTAACCTGAACGACCGTTCGCGTGTTATTTCGTACCCTGTTTATTATTTTATTAATATCAACCCTGGCAATCCCGTATAAATAAAAGCTTTTGTACTGACTTGGGTGTCGTGTTCGCAAATGATGATATAGGTTGGTTGTGTTGCCACCTTTAGCCATTACTGGATTTGTGCAAACTTTGCAGAATATTGTGGCCTGGTCTACGTCGTTTGGCTTAAACCCAAAGAAAGTCCAAACGGGACTGGAGGAATTTTTTTTAGGCAGCAAATCGTCGGTTGTTGTCACTTTTTTACTGTTGCTAGACGCCATGATGGATATTTACCCTTGACCCGCCGGTACTTAATATGCTATATTTTATACTTGTAGACGAATTTAATTCTATCAATAGAATGACATACTAGTTAGTCGAAGCAGAATATTAAGTTTTAATATAACGATAATATGTAACCAGAACTAGCAGGGTTCTAAAATCTACTTGTCTGAAAATCAGAACAGTGACAGTTGCGACTGGGGTAAATACTCTCCAACCTTGACCTTGCCAAACACATTTTCCTCGCTTACTAGTCCAAGCGACGATGTATTATCATCAATATTGGGACATGATAATTATCATAATCGCGATAATTTTTTTAAGTCACGATAAACCGGTTTTTCGATATTTTTAAGTAAGTCCGATATGATAAAATCGCCGATGATTTTATCACGGTATACCGAAATACCGGTATATCGCCCAACCCTAGTGTAACCCATGCATCATTTCTTACTACATATTTTGGAACAGACCTTGATCGTCTAGTATTGTCTCTGGCCGCATTTGTTTCTTATTTTCTTCTTAGATCTCCACTTTAAATATTGTGTATTTATTCTGCCACTTATTCAGTTGATGGTTACACACAGTAACAACAATACCACATTTCGTTTCTACGTTTTATATTAAGCACTGCTACATATAGGTTACATAGTAACAAGTATAAATTACAACAAAGTCATTCTCCACTCCCTCGACCCCACCATTCCGTAGAACGAGTTTACTGATGGATCCCAACACTGGAGATACGGTATCTTATTTTCTTCTTAGATCTCCACTTTAAATATTGTGTATTTATTCTGCCACTTTTTCAGTTGATGGTTACCTACAGTAACAACAATACCACATTTCGTTTCTACGTTTTATATTAAGCACTGCTACATATAGGTTACATAGTAACAAGTATAAATTACAACAAAGTCATTCTCCACTCTCTCGACCCCACCATTCCGTAGAACGAGTTTACTGACGGATCCCAACACTGGAGATACGGTATCGTTTAGAATGGGGTTTTTGGCACTGGAAAGTATGCATATAGTTTACTTTTAAAACATTGTTCGATAATGATAAAAATCGTTTAAGAATTACAAAAATGGTTTAGTTAGTACTATGGCTTAGTTTAATGGTAACAAATTTAGTTTCTCCGAGAGGCGTTTATAAATGGACGACCTGTTCACTTATCTACAGCGTTTACTTATTAAACGAGCCGTTTACTTTCCCGAGATAGGTTGTTTGTGGACACTCTACAGGTCACAATTTTTATACGCCCACATTTTCATGTGGACGTATATTGTCGTCGCCTCTGTCTGTCCGTCCGTCCGTCCACAATTGTTTGTAAACACTCTAGAAGGTCACAATTTTTATCCAATTTTGTTGAAACTTGAAATGTAAATTTATAACCCAAAGATCTCGGTTCTTTTCGATATTCGTGCATATCGAATTGTAACTTCTTGAATTATGGCCCCATGATTGTACGGAAAATCCTGTTTTTAGCTTGGGGTCGCTCTAGAGGTCACAATTATTATCCGATTAAAATAAACCTTTGAATATATCACCGTTATACCCTAAGGATGGTTGAGTTCGAATTTTGTAAAAATCGACCAAAACTGACAGACAAAATGGCCACGCCTCGTACTCAAATAGCGTAAAAATATAGTATATCAATGTTGTGGACCCTGTAGAGGTCACAATTTTTATCCGATTTTCATGAAACTTGAAATGCATGTTTATAACCCAAAGATCTTGGTTGCTTTCGATATTCGTGCATATCGGATTGTAACTTCTTGAATAATGGTCCTTGATTGTTCGAAAAATGGTGTTTTTAGCTTGGGGTCGATCTAGAGATCACAATTATTATCCGATTTAAAACACTGTTTGAATATATCACCGTTACACCGTAATTTAGGTTGAGTTCAAATTTCGTGAAAATCACACCAAAACTGCCATATAAAATGGCCGCCCCTCGTACGCAAATATTGTAAATATATGGTATATCAAGGTTTTGGACCCTCTAGAGATAGGACACAATTTTGATCTGATTTTGATGAAACTTGAAATACATGTTTATAACCCAAAGATCTTGGTTTCTTTCAATATTCATGCATATCGGATCTTAACTTCCTTAATTATGGTCCTTTATTGTACGAAAAATCACTTCTTTTTTTGAGCTTGTTCTCTGTCCATCTCTTGCAAAATGTGGGCGTATCTTGCATGGCAACCGCTTGTTATTATCTGATGTTAACATAACTTAAAATATAGGTTTATATCTCAAAGATCTCGTTTCTTTTTGATATTGGCATGTATCGAACCCTAACTTCATGGATTATGGCCCCTGATTGTAAATGCGTTTTTTTAGCTTGTTCTGTCTATCTGGGCGTATCTTGCATGGCAACTGCTTGTTTTAAATTTGCTTGGAAGCAATGGGGTCATAAGAGGATGAACCCCAGAGATTAGATTTCATAGATCCTTATCAAAATAGCTCAACATTGATGTTTTGATTTCTGATAAGCAGCATTTGGGACAAAGCTGCTGTGTGTGCGTATTCCACGCTTTGTGTGGCTATCTCTTGTCAAATTTGTGAAGAACTGGGACCGTGACAGGATGAATCCTATTGATATTCTCTGTTCTCCGTCCACTATTTGAAAATGTGGGCATGACTTTCATGGCAACTGCTTGTCAACTATCACATAATTCTGCTAACATTAGCACTTGCAAGAAATATTTCTTAATCCGAAATTTTAATTTTGATCACTTCTATCTCTCTTACAGACTTTTGTCAGAATTTATCTCCAGATGTGCGAGAAAACATCATCATGACCAACATTCTCCCCTGTGTGAAAGATTTGGTAGCAGATGCCAATCAACATGTCAAGTCAGCTTTAGCATCTGTCATAATGGGTCTTTCTCCTATTTTGGGAAAAGATAAGTAAGTATTTTGTTTAAAGTATAAATTGGCTATAAATATGAAGAATGTGGGGACCCTTCATCACTAAATCTTATGAAATTCTACAGCCATTCGTTGTGTGAATCGATTTTGATTTAAAGGACAATATAGGTGCCAGTCATTATCACATATGTTTACACTTGGTGTAGGGGTTTATTAGATCAATACCTTGATGGAGTCTAAAGATGAGCATTTTCTGCTTTGGGTAAGCAGAGGTAAGTAATTTGATTGGTTGATGCTTTGGGACACGATAACTTTAGTTCTAATTAAGTGAGAGTGATGAAACTTGGTGTATAGTTTCATTACATCAATACCTTGACTAAGTTTGCTAATGAGCATGTTCTGCTCCGGATAAGCAGAGCGATAAGCAATTTGATTGGTCGAGACTTTGTAACACAATAACTCGCATTCTAATTGAGTAAGAAAATTCACACTTGGCGTAGGTGTCTATTAGGTGAATGCCTTGATGGAGTTCGAAGATGAGAATTTTCTGCTTAGGGTAAGCAGAGATAAGCAATTTGATTGGTTGATGCTTTGGGACACAATAACTTTAGTTCTAATAGTAAGTGCAGGGGGACTGCACCACACAAAATTTACACAAAAACAAATACACGGACAGGACATCATACTTAGGAAAACACAAATATACAGACAATTCTAATCATGTGAGAATGAGAACACTTGGTGTATAGCTTTATTACATCAATACCTTGACTAAGTAAAGTTCGATAGTGAACATTTTCTGCAGAGGGTAAGCAGAGCGATAAGCAATTTGATTGGTCGAGACTTTGGAAGATAATAACTCTTCCTTCTAATTGAGGTAGAAAGTTCAAACTTGGTGTAGGTGTTCATTGGGCGAATGCCTTGATGGAGTTCGATGATGAACATTGTCTGCTTACAGTAGGCAGATATAAGCAATCTGATTGGTTGATGCTTTGGGGCACGATAACTTTAGTTATAATGAAGTGAGAGCGATGAAACTCTGAATATAGATTCATTATAACATTACCTTGACTAAGTTCGATGTTGCGAATTTTCTGCTTAGGCTAAGGAGCGATAAGCAACTTGATTGGTCAAGACTTTGGAACATAACAACTCTGCTTTTAATTGAGGTAAAATGTTTAAACTTGATGTAGATGATCATTAGGTAAATGTCTTGACTGATTAACATTTGGAACTAAAGTTAAGCAGAGCTAATCAATTTCATTGGTCGATGCTTTGGGACAAGATAATCTTGATTCTATCTGATAGAGAGCAATGATCCTTAAAGGAGCTAAATCTCTAATATTTGGGACCTACAAATTGACACAAATGGGTCACAGCGTATATAATAATGTAAAATGAATGTAAATAAACTGATTTACATTCAGTCGTTTCCATTTTTACTCTAATTTCAAAGCAGTTATGTTCGGCAAAATACACCAGAAGTCTCAATCCAATGGTAATCTCTAGCGTCTGGTTATTCCAATCTACACCGATAGTATTTATTGTGCTTTCTCTCCAGATAAGAATATGGGGTCAACGTTTGACATGACTTGTGGAATATGTCTAGCCTCGTTCTTCGAGTCGCTTGTTACAAATTGCGCTGAAATTTACCACTTGTAAATTTTTTATTTTGTCTTAAATATTGGCTATCAGAAGCCCATTTTTTCCAGTAAGATCACAACACCAATGTTGATTAAAATTGACAATGATTCGTGTTTTCATTGTCGAAGGTTTTGGATGATATTGAGTTAGAGACTTAGCTACTTTAATGTATAGTTTGATTGCTCGATACTGTTGACAGAAAATAAATGTGCGATTAAGTAATATGTGTCATCTATTTATTTTGGGATTTCGGCAAGGAACATCAGCCTCACTGTTGGCTTGTTTCTCTTTTTTGCGGAGAGTGTACGGCATGGACTATTTCCGAATAGGATAATAGATGCTATTTCTCTTGAGAGAACTTACTAAATTGAACAATAGTGGGTTCATAATCTGTTATATAAATGATCGAATTTCGTTTTGGCGAGGTAAAAATAGTTTTCAATCGGATTTGAGCGTACCTATATTTATAAGGCGTAGGACCAGAATATTTTTTCGGTCTTTACGATGATGGGGATCTATTTGGAAATAGAAATGACTGTAAACCCACCTTCACAAAACTGCTTTTGTTGATATAGTTAGTAACTGGGAATGATAGACTCCTTTAAAGATTTTATACTCTTCTTTCAGTACAATAGAGCACTTGCTTCCACTATTTTTATCACAACTAAAAGATGAATGCCCGGAAGTACGACTTAATATAATTTCCAATTTGGATTGTGTAAATGAAGTTATTGGAATTAAGCAGCTGTCACAAAGTTTATTACCAGCGATTGTGGATCTTGCAGAAGACACTAAATGGAGAGTCAGATTGGCAATAATTGAATACATGCCTCTTTTAGCTGGGCAGTTGGTATGTATACTTTACTTTTGTTATGTTTTCTCCCTGAGATTTCAGCTCAGATGGTGAGCTTACACTTGGTGTTAATGATGTATGGTATTCTCCTACAGAACTCTATTATCATATAAGGCCCCATAAGCCTACCATGTAAGTCACAGCATACTACAAAAATGCAGTAAAAGTTTTACTTTGGTGCGAAATACTTGACACTAAAAATGTCTGACAATCAAAAGTATTAAACAGAAACCCTAGTCTAAAGTCTTTGCTATTTGACTCTTTTCTCTGAATCAAATACTTATAAACCATTTTCTTCAGTGTACTGACATTGACATTTCTTGTAAACATATAGCCAATCACGACTTAAACTGGAATAATACATATGGGAAATATAATCCCTTGTGAGTTGAATGAAGCTTGTATCACTATGGCTAGAGAATGTAGTGGACACTTACAACTGATCCCCAGATCCATTTATTGAATATTTTTGTTGTTTATTACTTGTAATGTGTGTGTCTTGTCAGTGTTTATTTTTGTGTGGTGCACACACTAATAATATTAAGCTTTTCTGAAAGAGTTAATTGTTGTCTTATGTATGTGAGGTAAAGTTTGTTTATTTAGGATTGTTTAAATTTTTAGGGAAATGAATTTTTTGATGAGAAACTGAATGCATTATGTATGACTTGGTTAGTTGATCATGGTAAGTAAATTTTTATACGCCCACATTTTCATGCGGACATATATTGTCGTCGCCCCTGTTTGTCCGTCCACAATTTGTTTGTGGACACTCAACAAGTCACAATTTTTATCCGATTTCGACGAAACTTGAAATATAGGTTTATCTCCCTAAGATCTTGGTTCCTTTTGATATTGGCATGTATCGGACCATAACTTCATGGATTATGGCCCCTGATTGTACGAAAAATCGCGTTTTTAGCTTGTGGACCCTATAGAGGTCACAATTTTGATCTGATTTTGATGAAAAACTTGAAATGCATGTATATAACACAAAGATCTTGGTTCCTTTTGATATTCGCGCATATCGGATCGTAACTTCCTGAATTATGGCCCCTGATTGTGGTCTCTCCAGAGGTCACAATTTTTATCCGATTTAAAAAAACGTTTGAATATATCACCGTTACACCCTAAGAATGGCTGAGTTCGAATTTCGTGAAAATCGGCCCGTGCATATTGGATCGTAACTTCCTGAATTATGGCCATTGATTGTACGAACAGTCGCGTTTTTAGGATGTGATCCCTCTAGATGTAACAATTTTTATCCGGTTTAAAAAAAAATGTTTGAATATATCACTATTACACCTTTATGATGGTTGAGTCTGAATTTCGTACAAATCAGACCAAAACTGCCGGACAAAATGGCAAATATTGTAAATATATGGTATTATCAAGGTTTTGGACCCTCTATAGAGAGGAGGGGGGTTGGATGGCTGAATGGTTAGCGTGCGCGCGCTGTATCATAAAGTCTGTCATTGAGTCGACTGGCGTGGTTTCGAATCCCCGGTTGTACGTGACAAGGAGTAGGATCGACTGTCCAACCTCATGGGTTTTCTCCGGGTCCTCCGGTTTCCTCCCACTGCTAAAGACCCCTACGCGCAAGCGATTTATGTAAATAAAATTAAACTATATGTTAGTCCCGAAATGACCTAGTTTGTGTCGAGTGGACGTTAAACCCCATTTCTCTCTCTCTCTAGAGAGAGGACACAATTTTGATCCAATTTTGATGAAACTTGAAATTCATGTTTATAACCCAAAGATCTTGGTTCCTTTCAATATTCATGCATATCGGATCGTAACTTCCTGAATTATGGCCCTTGATTGTACGAAAAATCACTACTTTTTTTGAGCTTGTTCTCTGTCCATCTCTTGCAAAATGTTGGCGTATCTTGCATGGCAACCGCTTGTTGTCCAATTTAGATGAAACTTGAATGACATGTTAAAGGCTCAATACCACTCTTGTTGTACTTGAATAATATGTCCCAATCTTTATTCTGGTCAACAAATTGTACTATTTTACAATATTCCAATTAATTGATGATACAAATTTCATCTTAACACACCTAATTTAAAAAAATTGGAAAAATTCAACTAAATGATTTGAAAAGTCTAACGTAAACCTTTTCAAGTATGACTTGGATTTCAAAATATTTTCAATCCCTATGGACAAGTAAAATAGGATGTAATGGATAATTTACACAACAGGTAGGACACTTAAACATCTAATACTTAGAATAAGGCTATTATTTATTTTCTGGGGCTGTCAAGGCAGCAAGAGTGTTATTGTCCCTTTAATGATCAAAAGATCTTGATAGAGTTTGAATTTGGTGCACATCAAAACTGACAATAATTCAATGTGAAGTACTGGGGAAATGAGAGGATGATTTTCCCTGTCCCTGTCCATCTCTTGCAAAATGTGGGCATATCTTGCATGACAACCGCTTGTTAGATCCTTAATATATTAGTATTAATTATACATACAATTATGAATAATTTATTACAGTTTATGCTATTAGGGAAGCTGCTACTTTAAATCTAAAGAAACTAGTAGAGAAATTTGGAGTGGAATGGGCTCAACAGATTGTCATTCCCAAAGTAGTACAGATGTCCCGTGATACAAATTATCTTCATAGAATGACTTGCTTATTCTGTGTAAATGTAAGTACAATATGATACATTCTGAAAACCTGAATAATAACTCTCACTACAGTGGATTGATAAATTGTGTAATACTGACCAGTAATGATTTTTATACGCCCACATTGAAATGTGGTCGTATATTGTCGTTGCCCCCGGCCGGCCGGCCGGCGTCCACAAGTGCTTGTGGACGCTCTAGAGGCTAAAGTTAATATCCGATTGACTTTAAATTTATATACAGTGTTTAAGGCCATGAGACGAAGAAGTCTATTCATTTTCAGTGATTTTCGATAATTACTGCCAGAGTTATGGCCCTTGATCACTTCAAAAAACCTTGTGGATGCTCTAAAGGCTAAAGTTAATATCTGATTGACTTTAAATTTATACACAGTGTATGAGGTCACTAGGCGAATAAACTTATTGATTTTCAAAGATTTCTGATAATTACTGCCAAAGTTATGGCCCTTGATCACTTTGAAAAATCTTGTGGACGCTCTAGAGGCCAAAGTTAATATCAGATTGACTTCAGATTGATACACAGAGTTTAAGATCTTGAGACGAACAAGTATATTGATTTTCAATGAATTTTTATGACTTGGAACAGCTAAATCCATGATACAGTATTAAAAGTTTTGTATACAAAACGTTAGCATGGGGCAGAACTTTATAAAAACCAAACAAATTCTAATGGTTTTCTGAGTTGTTGCTCTTAATCAGATTTTAGTGTATTATAAATGTTTCATTACCGAAAAAAGTAAAAATATGCGACAACTCTTGTTGACTGCCAGGACAATTTAGCTGCTGTGGGCGTATGTTTCATTGCCTGGCAACCTATCTTTGTCGGTTTTAAAAGGATTTCAGCTTTATAGTTGTCCACAGCTCATGTGAATTTAGAATAAAAGAAATGGGAGGGGAGGGGGACAGGGCTGTCGGTAATTTTTCACGGTTGATTAGCAGCACTGCTAATCAAAAAGTCCAATTTTGCCAAATTTGATTAGCAAATTTAAAAATTGATTAGCAGTTTTTCAGTTTCAACATAAAACACCTAAATAACAAGATATTACTTTAGTTCATAACAAATATGATTAGATTCCATTCTTACTAATCTTAGATTTTTTTAGGACTGCCACAAGTACTTGTGACAGTTTGTGAATGTGATGTAGACATTTAGTTTGTGAATGTGATGTAGACATTTAGTTAGGTCTTATGTCTGAAGCCAATTCTTAACAGTGACTTCCGAAGCCCCAATCATTTTAATTGTTATTTTTTGTACGTTAGAAATCTTCGTTAGAAAACAATTTCGTCTGCTTTTTATCGTGTATTGCTTTTTTTGTTCAATCGGGCGCACCTCGATTGACTAGACACACGTGATATTTTACGGGAATTTTTACTTTGATTTATCATTTTACAATACGTTAACATTTATTATTTTATATTTTATTTACAATACGTAGAGGATACACTGGATTTATTTCTTTCAAAATATCATATAATTACTTGATGTCTCGCAACGTGAGTGGTACTACTTGATTCCCTGTTTCCAGTTTAATAGTCCCTATTCATAGAGTTATGTCCCTGTATTATATAGTACCGTATAATGAATTGTGTCTGGGTAGTTCGAGAAGAAAATGTCACACGGAGAATTCAGTTTTGTTTATAAAATTTTATTCAACATTTTATACTCGTTGAAATTGTTGAGAAAGCTTTCTAGTCTTCAAATGTGGATTATCCTTGTGTCAATATCCAAAATGACAGGCATATTAATGATTCGCAGTTACTGCGAATCAAAAACTTTAGATTTTAATTTTTGATTAGCAACGGACAAAATATGTATCGCAAATTGCGCTGCGATACTGGTTGTCGGCAGCCCTGGGAAGAGGAGGGATAGTTGTTGCCAGTTGAATAGGAACTCGGGTCTTCATTTCGGGAAAAATTTATCCAATGAAACAATGCTAAAAGTAAACACATTTTACTGAATTATAGATCTTTTGTCCGTTATTGACATCATGTATAATTAAACACTTAGAATTACATAGTTAAGACTAAATTGACAATATATCAATAGGCATTAAAAATACCACACTTAATGATAAAAATGATTTTTATTTGCCAGAAAGATGACCTAACTATTTTATTTCTGTTATATAATTTGACAATGATTGATTTCAGTTGTTGGCAGAAGCTTGTGGTTCTGACCTAACAGGTAGACTATTGTTGCCCATGATAACTGGAATGGCTGGAGATGCTGTAGCCAATGTTAGATTTAATGTAGCAAAAACACTGCAGAAATTAGGTCCTCTCTTGGATCAGTCGTAAGTACAGTATATGCCTTCATTTATGTTTTTTATCTCCTCAGATCTTTATATGCCACCATGCAAATGTATATTGTCGTCGGCCTCTCTCTCTATCCGTTGTCTTGTGGCGAAATTCATGATCTGATTGACATTGTTCATAGACAAAGAAGCAAGGATTCTATTTTGTCCAATGTGAATATGCACAATTGGACATCAAGATATGTTGAATCAAACTAGAAATTCCAATAGAATGATTATTGTTGATAATATTAATCGACACGATTAAGAATTGAGTTTGCGAGAGAACCATGCAAAATTTAAAAAAAAAAGGCACAAGCTGTGTCAGGCGATTTTGACCAAACTTTGCAGATTTGGTCATTGGGTATCCTGTATACCCCACATGAAATATGAAGGTCACCAACCCTGTAGTTATGGAGAACCAGCTATAGCCATTTTAGAGTAAAAAAAACCCGTCATTTTTAAGAAAATAATCCCAAAATTCAAATATTTCCCATAAATTGCCCATTGATTATTTATTTTTTTAAATTATTTTTTATGAATGATCTTGTCTTCTACTTCAATATATATGACTATTAAATTTTTTGGAAACCATTTGAGGCTATGATTAATTTATTTCATGATGTTATATCTCACCCACTTCGGGGCTGAGGACAATTCTATTAATAATGGATGTTGAGGACTACTAATACTAATATTTGGTTTTGACAACACGACTGGCACAGATTTCTTTCATATTAAATTTAATGGTCGAACTTGAAGAAAATGACTTCATTTCTGACATCTTTTTCCAATAAAATCATTCATTGCCTGGATTATAAGGCCTGATAATGCTCTATGGAATCTCCTTCCAGCAACCCTGTGTAGGGCCGGTACAGATGATTCAGGAGTTACATAAGGATCAGTCCTTGGACCTGTCCTTTCTGTAATGTATACTAAGAATTTAGGACGAACTAATTGATAATCATGGTTTCTAGGAAGACATTCTTATACAGCTGATCGCAAATTACTCCCTTTCAAAAACTGTTCCATCCCCAAATTATTCTGACATCAAATTGTGTACACATGAAATTAAAGATAGGATGACAAAAAATATGTTGAAATTAAATGTAATTGAATTAAGTAAATCTGAATGTATTGTATTTGGTCCAAGTACACATCTGAAAAATACAAGTTCAAATGATGTGGTTGTACGAGATGCAAAACTTGTACCGTGCCACACTGTGAAGAACTTAGGTGTCCTCTTAGGGTCCAATTTAAGCATGAACAGTCACATTAGTGAAATTTATTGAAAGTGTTATCTTCAGTGTATAAAATTCGTCAAGAAAAGTTGTAGGCCAATAGGACCCACTGGTAGACGCCATTCATGAAAGTTGTAGGTCCTAACATTAAGTTGTGGGCCCAATAAATATTAACAAAACACACGTACACTACCCCACCCCACCCCAAATGCCTTTATTTCTAAGTTCTAGCCATTTGGGACAGGTTTAAAAGTTAAAATATGTATTCAATATTGATTGACTGTACACATTACAATTTTAACTTTTGAAGGATTTAATGTTAATACTTCGTGTATAGAAAGATAAAAATCATTCCACCCCTATTTTACCCCAGACTTGATATTTATTTTTTCTGTAATAAATAAATATTTACTTGTAGTTGTAATAATCTTAATGATTATATATAGGTCTACTTGTACTGACAATATAATATCTAGAAATTCTATTCACATAGAAATCTGAAGATTACGGATTAAAATGGCACTTTACACTCTCCGAAAATTAACAGAAAATATTGTTCATTTAAATGAAATGAAATAAAACTGGCATCCAGGTCTTACCAGACATAAATTAATGTCTTACATTTCAATAAACATGTTATATCGACTGGGCCGACGGACCAACGTAAATTTTAAACACTAGTGCCAATATTAAAAAAAAATGTACAAAATACTGCAGCTTGAATTGTTACCAGATCATCAAAATACTCCCATACTACTCCTATTCTGAAATCACTCTATTAGCTGCCAATAAATGAAAGAATCATCTTCAAAAGTCTGTCTTTGACGTATCAGTGTGTGAATGGCTTACCTCAAATATACTTATCTACTTACCTCCATCAGTTGTGTTGCTCAAGGTGGAAATTAAAATCATTTGGATACAGATCATTCTCAGTGAATGCAATTAATCTGTGGTACAATCTTCTAGAGATCATTAAATCACCTCAAACTCTTTCTTGTTTTAAATCAAGACTTAAAACCCATCTTGTTATCAGGATTAATTAAATTAGATTAATTGTATGTGCAACGAACATGCCTCCGTGCATGGGGTATGTGCGCTATATAAATATACATATTATTATTATTCGTCAGACCGAAGTTAGGTTTGTACTCCAGCATTCAAGATGGCGGTTTGAAATCAGCTGTTCATTTTCCCGTCTTTTTCCACAAATAAAATGCGGTTAACTAGCCAGTTATCCGAAAGAAACTACAATAGCATATTCCTGAAACAATGGCCTGAAAAATACCTCTGTAGCCATTGCTGGATTGTCTTCTGATACTTGAGTTTTTGAGGGAGTGTGTCTATTCTTCCCGTTCAATCAAATCTTCCCTAAGTACAGCAACGTGACACCCTTCGTTTAATCTGGAATCTTCCCTAAAACTTTGGACAGTGATTTAAGGTATTAAAAATGATGAAAGTATTGTTCGTCTCTAAACAGTATTGTTTACATTGTAACCGTTTTGATAGCCTCGTTTGTCACGCACTTATTTTTCTTGCAATATTGTGCTATGCACTGGTTAATTGGGCGTAATAAATTTTGTGAATCATGACGTAACATTATGTAAACGTATTCGGAGCTCAGTTTAAACCCGAATGATATTTTTACGCAGTTGGGTATTGGTTGTTAATCGGACTATTGACCAGTCATAATTTGGAACAGAAATTTGCTTTCATTACGGCAGTGTTGAGTGTGATTAGGTCTAGTCAAACGAAACACTGCGATGATTATGCTACAATAGTGACCTTACACGCATATACTAGACTACATTTATCAACCGATTGTTTTGAAATTGATATATGTTGTTTGCATTAGTGAGATGAAGAAGCCTTTTTAATTTCAATAACTTCCGTTAATTTCTTCTGGAGTTATGGCCCTTGTTTCACTTTGTTGCACCTTGTGAACGCTCTAACGACATAAGTTATCAACCGATCTCTATGAAATTTATATGCATCATTTAAATTAGTAAAGCAAAGAAACCTATTGAATTTCAGCAATTTCCGTTAATTACATCTAGAGTTATGGCCCTTGTTTCACTTTGTTGAATCTTGTGAACGCTCTAATGACAAAAGTTATCAACCGATCTGTATGAAATTGATATGCATCATTTAAATTAGTAAAGCAAAGAAGCCTATTGAATTTCAGCAATTTCCGTTAATTACATCTAGAGTTATGGCCCTTGTTTCACTTTGTTGAATCTTGTGAACGCTCTAATGACAAAAGTTATCAACCGATCTGTTTGAAATTGATATGCATCATTTAAATTAGTGAAATGAAGAAGCGTATTGAATTTCAGCAATTTCCGTTAATTACGCCGAGAGTTATGGCCCTTGTTTCACTTTGTTTTACCTTATGAATGCTCTAACGACAAAAGTTATTATCCGATCTGTATGAAATTTATATGTATCATTTAAATTAGTAAAACGAACAAGCCTATTGAGTTTCAGCAAATTTATGTTAATTACATCTTGATTTACTTTGTTGAACTTGGTGAATGTTCGAACGACAAAAGTTATCATCCGATCTGTATGAAATTTATATGCATTATTTGAATTAGTAAAACAGAAAAGCCTGTCGAATTTGAACAATTTCTGTAGATTACTTCCAGAGTTATGGCCCTAATTACCTACAAAAGAATAAATATGTGACAACCCTTGTCGACTGCTCGGACGAGTTAGCTGCTGTGGGCGTATGTTTAGTTGCCTGCAACCTATCTTTGTCTTTTTGAAATATCACTTGATTCTAAAAATAAACACACTTGTATGGATATACTACTTCTGAATTTTATTAACATGCTACGTTTCAATACACATACTGGTATCGTTATCAAGCAAATAATGATTAATTAACAAAAACGTGGTGCAATATATAGATGAACACTTTGGAAGCCATATAGCAGATAAAACAGTAACAACAAATTGATTAACAAGATGAAAGATATAATATATAGACAACAGGTAGAAACCATTTAACAGATAACACAATAACAACAATTGATTAACCAGATCAAAGATAACAATTAGAAATCATTTTGAAGATAAACCAATGACCACAATTGATTATAACAAATATATAGATAACAAGTAGAAAAAGGTAGAAATCATTTAACAGATAACACAATAACAACAATTGATTAACCAGATCAAAGATAACAATTAGAAATCATTTTTAAGATAAACCAATGACCACAATTGATTATAACAAATATATAGATAACAAGTAGAAACTATTTTAGCAGGTAAAAGAAAAAAGAACAGAAATTTCTTGGTGGATAGCCTAGATAGATTAATTATATTTACCAAGAACAGCTCTTTTGGCATTTACAGTAAATTAAGCTTTTCAAACTTCATCATTTAAAAATTTTAATGGTGTAATTGTGAGCTCAGTTTTCATGATAGATAGATAGTACATGTAGATAGCAAAGTAGAGCGATATTTTGTTTAATTTGAAATACTTATTGGTAATAAGTATTTGTAGTTTTGATAAAGGAACATTTTTTAAAACGTGAATTATTTGATGAAAGTATATAATGCGTTTATATTTATTTGTTTATTTCTATTTATATTAACGGCTTGTTCTTAATGGAACCGGAACCCACATTAATTTGGTTCCCAGTGTTTTTTTCGTCATTTTTGACAAATCGTTTTTTTTGGCGCTTATCGGACCATAACTTTATAGATTATGGCCCCTGATTGTACAAAAAATTGCATTTAAACCCTTGGCGGGCCATATCTGGCCTATGGGCCGCAATTTGACATCCCTGCTCTAGAATGTAAAGTTACTAACCGATAAGACTTTAAAATTTCTACACAGTATTTACAATCATGAGACAAAGAAACCTATTGATTTTCAACAATTTCCAATCATTACTGCCAGAGTTATGCCCCTTGATCACTTGATAAATCTTGTTGAGACACTAGTAGTCTGGAGGCTCAATAGCGAACCCAACCTCTCTATAGTAAAATTTGGCGTAGAATACAATGCCAAGTGATAATCAGTCCACTATATGTTAGTCCTGAAATGACCTAGTTTGTGTCGAGTGGACGTTAAACCCCATTTCCCTCTCTCTCTCTCTCTCTCATAATTATTTTATAAAACATTACAAATCAGACTCATTTGAATAAAACATTGGTTTCGAAGGCTAAAAATACAGTTTTTGCCCAAATGACATCATTTCCAGTGACCATGTAAATGTTAAAATGGTTTGACCTAGTCCAAATTGGCATTAGGCATCAAATGGTAAAAAAATTTGCAAATCGAATGATAGTTGACTCTTACAGGTAAAATAACGTGACTCATGCAAAATTGCCTATTTCTCGGCAATTGTGCATATTACAAATTAAATTTCACATACATTCTCTTCGTATGGGTTATTGCTACGAGTTTATGTGGACTCTCTACAGGTCACAATTCTTGACCGATTTTGACGAAACTTGAAATATAGGTTTATCCCCAAAAGATCTCGGCTGCTTTCGATATTGGCATGTATCGAATCGAAACTTCATGGATTATGGCCCCTGTTTGTACGAAAAATCACGTTTTTAGCTTGTGGACCCTATAGAGGTCACAATTTTTATCCGATTTTGTTGAAACTTGAAATGTAGGTTTATAACCCAAAAATCTCAGTTCCTTTGGATATTTGCACATATCGGACCGTAACTTCCTGAATTATGGCCCCCGATTGTACGAAAAATCGCGTTTTAAGCTTGTGGACCCTATAGAGGTCATAATTTTTATCCGATTTAAAAAAACATATTATTATATCACCGTTACACCCTAAGGACGATTGAGTTCGAATTTCCTGAAAATGGGCCCAAAATTGACAGACAAAATGGCCTCCGTTCGTTTTCAAATAACGTAAAAATATGGTATATCAAGGTTGTGGACCCTATAGAGGTCACAATTTTTATCCGATTTTGTTGAAACTTAAAATGTAAGTTTATTACACAAAGATCTCAGTTCCTTTTGATATTCGCGCATATCAGACCCTAACTTTCTGAATTATGGCCCCTGATTGTACGAAAAATCACGTTTTTAGCTTGTGGACCCTATAGAGGTCATAATTTTTATCCAATTTAAAAAAACGTATTATTATATCACTGTTGCACCCTAAGGATGACCGAGTTCGAATTTCATGAAAATCGGTCCAAAATTGACAGACAAAATGGCCACCGTTCGTTCTCAAATAGCGTAAAAATATGGTATATCAAGGTTGTGGACCCTATAGAGATCACAATTTTTATCTGATTTTGTTACACGCAGAAAATCGGCCCAAAACTGACAGACAAAATGGCTGCCCTTCGTTCTCAAATAGCGTAAAAATATGGTATATCAAGGTTGTGGACCCTATAGAGGTCACAATTTTTATCTGATTTGGTTGAAACTTGAAATGTACGTTTATAACCAAAAGATCTTGGTTCCTTTCGATATTCGCGCATATCGAATTTTAATTTCCTGAATTATGGCCCTTGATTGTAGGAAAAATCTCTTTCTTCTGAGCTTGTTCTCTATCCATCTCTCGAAAATGTGGGCGTATCCTGCCTGGCAGCCGCTGGTTCACCTTTTAATCGAAATAGCCCAAAAACAAAATCGAGATTAAAACAACTGAGCCCGCTGTTTTCTGCGTGTTTACAGGGCACACCCTTTCAGTCATATCAGATTTGAAAAAAAATAATATTTGCTTTCAAAAAGTGGTACTAAACTGTCAAAATTGTAGTTTTTGCTAAATGTACGTCACTTCCGTTGCTGAAAGGTAACTTTACCGGTAATAAAAAAAATGACATTTTGGACCACGGAGCATATGAACTTTGTTTTATACAAATCGAACAATAAATAATTAATCCAGGACTGAAAAACTGAATTAACCATTGGCGGCCAAGGAATGTTATGGTGACAAAACATGTTGCCATTTTTGGTCAAATCAAATGACTCTTTAACCCTGGGTAAAATACCACATAAAAATATTCATAAATAAAAAAGTTTTTTTGTAAAAATTTAAATTTTCAAAATTTGGCGAAAATCAAAAATCTAAAGAACCGTAGCTATGTGCCTTGTCTCTGGCTATGTCAAAATGTATCTAATGTTAATATTACGGCAATATTTCAAAAACGACGATTTCAGACATTTTGAATTGTCCCAGAATGTTCGAAATAGCTTTAATTTCTAAGTCATACTCACTTTTCCAGTAAAACCGAAGACATCGAATCAATCCGACAAGTAGTTTCTGAGATATGCTCAAGTGGAAAAAAAAAAATGATAATATACTATTCAAAAAAAGTAGGGGATATTTGATTTTTAAGTGTTATTAAAGTCACCTAATGAAACTGACGAAGAAACAAATGACAAAATGAAATGAAGTTCACATTCATCGATTTATTCCAAATGATCGTTAGACTAAGTAAGGCACAGACTGACCATTATAAGGGTAAAATGATACCCGGGGTCAAACAGCAAAGTTACCACAGCATCACAACCAAGTCAGTAACGGGTAAATCCTCCTCTGTTTGCCAAACAAGCATTGATCCGACGTGGCATACTCCTAATGAGACGTCTAAGGTCATTTTGGTCCAGATTGTCCCATTCCTGTTGCAACGCAGCAGCAAGTTCTTGGACATTGGCAGGACGTTGTTGACGTTGACGTAACCTCTGTCCAAGCATGTCCCAGACATGCTCGATGGGGGAGAGGTCGGGACTCAGTGCTGGCCAAGGTAATGTGGTGATGTTCTGTTGTTGGAGGTAACCTGTAACGATCCTGGCCCTGTGACATCTTGCGTTTTCATCCTGGAAGATGAAACGGCGGCCATGACGTCGTGCGAATGGCACAACATGGACTGCCAAGATGTTGTCCCGGTAGTACTGGCCTGTAACACGCCCTGCAACAACATGTAAAGCCGTTCTTCCAGCAACAGTGATGCCTCCCCACACCATAACAGAACCACCCCCAAATCGATCATGTCTGATGACGTTAACGTCTTGGAAGCGCTCGTTTCGACGACGCCACACCCTCCTACGTCTGTCCAAAAAATCAACAGTGAACCTTGACTCATCTGAAAACATCACATTGCTCCAGCGTCGATTATCCCAGTGTTGACGATCCCTACACCAACGACTTCTTGCCTGAATGTGATGATCTCTCAAACAAGGGATCACGCGAGGACGTCGGGCGCGAAGGTGACCCCTATGCAGTCGATTCCGAATCGTCTGGCCACTCACTCTCACACCAGTGTCTGTTTGAAGACGAGCGCTGATCTGATTTGCTGTGATGACACGATTTCTCAAGGCCAAGGTACGGATAAATCGATCCTGGGCTTGAGTTGTCGCCCTTGGTCGACCTGAGCGTGGTCTGTCCTGTACAGATTGTGTATCACGGTATCTGGACCATAGCCTGCTTATGACAGACTGAGAAACATTCATCGTTCGCACCACAACCGCCTGTGTTGTGCCGATCTGTAGCATGCCAAGGGCACGTAACCTTTCATTTTGGGTAAGCCGACGCATATCAAAATTTGTTTTCTGGTCACTAAAACAATTAAACTGATGTTTCCACCCTGGAATTCAATGCCACAATGACTGTAACATTCAAAGTCAGAGTCGTGCAAATCTTGGGTTGGACCCCCATGATGATCCCAAGCATCATCTGCATTCCATGCGGTAGCTATTGGTGCGTTTGAGCGTCACATGTAACTGGAAATGTTTCTTCTGTTAGGTTCTATAGTGACTTTTTTCGTAGTCATTTGCATATTTTAGTATTATGCCCCCAAAATCAAATATCCCCTACTTTTTTTTAATAGTATAATAAGAATAATTTTAACAAAAACAATAGTGTTTCACACAAGTGAAACCCTAATGATTTGTGATAATTACTTCATGGGTTGTTACTTATAATAGGATTTTTGTGTGTTGTAAATGTTTTTGTTATTGACAAAAGAAAAAATATGCTACAATTCTTATTGACTGCCGAGATGACTTAGCTGCTGTAGGCGTATCTTTCGTTACCTGGCAACCTGTCTTTGTTCTTGTTCTCTGTCCCACTCTTGCAAAATGTGAGCTTATTTTGCATGGCAACCGCTTGTATTATGATTGAACCCTCCTAAATCCTTCACCATGACTATCTAGCAGAGCTTTTTACATTATTGATGTTATTAGAAGTTAGAAATATGTGGACTTATTATTAAAAAATATGTTTCTGTTTTTCAGACTCATTCAGCAACAAATCAAGCCATGTTTAGAACAACTTAAACAGGATCCAGATATAGACGTACAATATTTTGCTATTGAAGCAATGGACAGTAAGTCATATATGATTTTTGTCCCCCGCCTTTCGAAGAAAGCAGGGGACTATTAAAATGGGTTCGTCCGTCTGTCTGTCTGTCTGTCTGTCTGTCCGTCTGTCTGTCCGTCACACTTTTTGGGACACAATAACTCTCTTCCTAATTGAGCTAGAATGTTCAAACTTGGTGTATGTGTTTATTAGGTCAATGCCTTGATGGAGTTCGAAGATGAGCATTTTCCGCTTAGGGTAAGCAGAGATAAGCAATTTGATTGGTTGATGCTTTGGGACACGATAACTCTCTTCCTAATTGGGCTAGAATGTTCAAACTTGGTGTATGTGTTGATTAGGTCAATGCCTTGATGGAGTTCGAAGATGAGCATTTTCCGCTTAGGGTAAGCAGAGATAAGCAATTTGATTGGTTGATGCTTTGGGACACGATAACTTTTAATTGAGCTAGAATGTTCAAACTTGGTGTATGTGTTTATTAGGTCAATGCCTTGATGGAGTTCGAAGATGAGCATTTTCCGCTTAGGGTAAGCAGAGATAAGCAATTTGATTGGTTGATACTTTGGGGCACGATAACTCTCTTCCTAATTGAGCTAGAATGTTCAAACTTGGTGTATGTGTTGATTAGGTCAATGCCTTGATGGAGTTCGAAGATGAGCATTTTCCGCTTAGGGTAAGCAGAGATAAGCAATTTGATTGGTTGATGCTTTGGGACACGATAACTTTAGTTCTAATTAAGTGAGATTGATGAAACTTGGTGTATAGTTTCATTACAGTAATACCTTGTTATCTAAATTATCCCCCTTTGGTGATACAGTTTTTAGCATATAAACTAGATAATAATTATTCGGTTGACACACAATCAACGGCATAGAATACACGATGGCACAAGCTATAATAATTATTGATATAAAATATTATTTTATCGCAATTTAGCTGATATATAACTGGATAGCCCTCATAAATAAGTAGTGGAAGGAGGGAATCGATTTTCATATTCCGTTTTCCTGCAAATGTTATTTAACTTCTTTATTATATAATATTTGTATTTTTGTCCCCCGCCTTTCGAAGAAAGCTGGGGACTATTAAAATCGGTGTGTCTGTCCGTCCGTCACACTTTTTGGGACACAATAACTCTCTCTAACTGAGCCAGAATGTTCAAACTTGGTGTAGGTGTTAATTAGGTCAATGTCTTGATGGAGTTCGAACATGAGCATTTTGTGCTTAGGTTAAGCAGAGATAAGCAATTTGATTGGTCAAGATTTTGGAACACAATAACTCTCATTCTAGTTGAGTTAGAATGTTCACACTTGGCGTAGGTGTCTGATAGGTGAATGCCTTGATGGAGATTGAAGATGAGAATTTTCTGCTTAGGGTAAGCAGGGATAAGCAATTTGATTGGTTGATGCTTTGGGACACGATAACTTTAGTTCGAATTAAGTGAGAGTGAGGACACTTGGTGTATAGCTTTATTACATCAATACCTTGACTTAGTTCGATAATGAATATTCTCTGCTGTCATGTCATGGCTGAGTTCAATGATTTACATTAGTCGATGCTTTGGGACAAGATAACTTTGATTCTATCTGATGGAGAGTGCTGAAACTTAGTGTATAGTTTGATTGCTCGATACTTTTGAAAAAAATAAATGTGCGATTAATAAATATGTGTCATCTATTTATTTTTGGATTTCAGCGGGGGACATCAGCCTCACTGTTGGCTTGTCTTTTGAAGATTGAGTTTGGGTGAGACATTGAGACAAGTTTCGATCCCTGCAAGCTGGTAAGGTTACCCAACCTTGTCTGTTTCTGCTTCTCCCACTGTTAACGACCCCTCCTATGCGTGTGTTATTGAAATCAAAGTGTACCATATTTTAGTCAAGAAATGACCTAGTTTGTGTCCAGTGGATGTTAAACTCTCTCTTTCTCTGTTGGCGGTATAGTGGGCGTATTTAGTCGTGGTTAACGCGATAGAAGCATTGTGGTCGTGAGAGGATGAACCCTATCGATTTTCACATTCCGTGATTTTTATACACCCACATGGAAATGTGGTCGTATATTGCCGTCGCCCCTGTCCGTCTGTCCATCGTCCAAAATTTTTTGTGAACACTCTACAGACTACATTTATCAACCAATTGTTTTGAAATTGATATATGTTGTTTGCATTAGTGAGATGAAGAATCCTATTTAATTTCAATAACTTCCGTTAATTTCTTCTGGAGTTATGGCCCTTGTTTCACTTTGTTGCACCTTGTGAACGCTCTAACCTCAAAAGTTATCAACCGATCTGTATGAAATTTATATGCATCATTTAAATTAGTAAAACAAAGAAGCCTATTGAATTTCAGCAATTTCCGTTAATTACATCTAGAGTTATGGCCCTTGTTTCACTTTGTTGAATCTTGTGAACACTCTAATGACAAAAGTTATCAACCGATCTGTATGAAATTGATATGCATCATTTAAATTAGTGAAATGAAGAAGCCTATTGAATTTCAGCAATTTCCGTTAATTACGCCGTGAGTTATGGCCCTTGTTTCACTTTGTTGTACCTTGTAAATGCTCTAACGACAAAAGTTATTATCCGATCTGTATGAAATTTATATGTATCATTTAAATTAGTAAAACAAACAAGCCTATTGAGTTTCAGTACCTAAATTAGTGAAATGAAGACGAACAAGCCTATTGAATGTCAGCAATTTCCGTCAATTACATCTAGAGTTATGGCCCTTGATTTACTTTTTTGAACTTTGTGAACTTACGAACAACAAAAGTTATCATCCGATCTGTTTGAAATTTATATGCATTATTTGAATTAGTAAAACGAAAAAAGCCTGTCGAATTGGAACAATTTCTGTAGATTGCTTCCAGAGTTACGGCCCTTGTTTTATTTTTTAGAACCTTGTGAACCTTCAAACAACGAAAATTATAATGTCATCTGTATGAAATTGTCTATTAAATTCCCCTAATTATCTACAAAAGAATAAATATGTGACAACCCTTGTCGACTGCTCGGACGATTTAGCTGCTGTGGGCGTATGTTTTGTTGCCTGACAACCTATCTTTCTTTCTGGAGATATATCCCCAATGGCGCTTTGATTTGGTATTGACTAATGAGAGGGTGCGAATTGGTTCGCTATCGGGTTAAGTAACTACTGACAACCCTAATGAGAATATTTTAGCATTTATTACCACTTATTACCACTTATTCCTGTCTAAAATAATGACCTGCTAATACAAGCTCCAGGATCAAAAGTCAAAACTAATGATTTTACAGTGTCATTATTATAAAATGGCTCCAAAAAAACCAACTCATTAAACATGAACAAGTAAATGTATTGATTCAAAATAAATCCTGCAAGATTTTGGGATTGGGGTGATTTTGTTTTGTTGTGAATGCTTACATTACTAACAAAAGAATAAATATATGACAACCTTTGTAGTCTGCACTGACAACTTAGCTTATGTGGGTGAATCCTTGAGTGGCATTTAGTGATTGAGAAGATTAAAAAACACAACACAATTTATGGAATACAATCACAGGTTTATACGACGTTTCGACAAGTATTCTCTTATCGTTATCAAGTACAAATGGTCTATAAACCAGTGATTGTATTCCATATAAATTGTGTTGTGTTTTTTGGGTTGATTTTTTTACCTTATTACACATACAAAAATTAATAATATCAGATAAAAATAGTCAGTTTTTGTAGATGATTACGTGTTAAATAATTTAATACGCATTGATCTCTTTACTTTCAGCTTTAAAGATCACTGCTTGAACATGGGTAAGTTAATTTTTATATGCATACATTTCAGTGTGAAGGGTATCACAAAACCATCTTCTATAGCATCTAACATTTCGTAAGGTTAAAAACTTTAGATGCTATAAAAGATGGTTTTATCATACCATTTCCATTTCGTTTTCATACGCCCACATGGAAATATGGTCATATATTGCTGATTGCTGTCGCCTTCATCCATCATCCGCAATTCTTTGTGAAAACTCTACAGGCTCATTTATTATCAGATCGTTGTAATGTTGTATACATTAGTGAGATGAAGTATCCTATTTATTTTCAACAATGTCCTTTAATTACTTCTAGAGTTATGGTCCTTGTTTCACTTTGTAGAACCTTGTGAACACTCTAACAACTAAAGTTATCATCCAATCTGTATTAAATTTATATGCTTTAATTTAGATTAGTAAAATGAAGAAGCCTGTTGAATCTCAGCACTTTCCATTAATTAGTTCTAGAGTTAATGCTCCAACGACAAAAAAATTATCATAAACCTGATTTGTATTAAGTTTAGATTAGTAAAACAAAGAAGCCAGGTGAATTTCAGCAATTTCTGTTAAACACTTCTACAGTTATGGCCCTTGTTTCACTTTGTTGAACATTGTGAAGGCTCTAAGTTATCATATAAAATTGATATCAGCGTCTTGTAAATTCTCCCATTACCTTGGAAGATTTAGCTGCTGTAGGCGTACGCATTGTTGCCTGGCAACCTATCTTTCACCAATACTACTGTTCGTGTCACTGTATCCAGTGACTTGGATCCCATCAAAGTTTATGTTATTCAAATGGTTGTGGATTCATCTCTCTCTAGTTTTATTTAGATCACATTTAAGTGTGGGCGTAATTATTATGGAGTAAACCTGTCTGTTGCTTAATCCTTCCATCAACAGTTGACTTCTGAATGCGATAGAGAATACAGTTTTTATATGCCCATGTTTTCATATGTCTCAGGTGACAAGTAGAAATATTTTTTACTTGTCACTTGTCACCATTGATTTTTGTTTTTGATTAAAAAAAATTAACTTATTATATTTCAATTTCATTTATAAGAGATGCTTACATGTACAATCAGACTTAGTGTTCACTTTAACACATTTTGACGGAGGTAATGAAACAAATGACAGACCGTTGTTCTTCCATTTCCGACCCATGGTGATATAATAATTTAACATAATATACAATTAGGCATGCTTGTATATTCCATGCCAAAAGAAGCCACAGTAAATGGAATTCAACTATCAAAATATTTAATTCTCTTCGGAAAGAATATTCGGCCATATTTCTTTTTATTTTTTATACGCCCACATTGAAATGTGGTCGTATATTGTTGTCGCCCCTGTCCGTCCGGCGTCCACAATGGCTTGTGGATGCTCTAGGGAGTCTAGAGGCTAAAGTTAATATCCGATTGACTTTATAAATTTATACACAGTGTTTAAGGTCATGAGACGAAGAAGCCTATTGATTTTCAGTGATTTCCGATAATTACTGCCAGAGTTATGGTCCTTGATCACTTCAAAAAATCTTGTGGACACCCTAGAGGTCAAAGTTAATATCCGATTGACTTTAAATTTATACACAGTGGTTAAGGTCATGAGACGAAGAAGCCTATTGATTTTCAACGATTTTCGATAATTACTGCCTGAGTTATGGCCCTTGATCACCTCAAAAAATCTTGTGGACGCTCTAGAGGTCAAAGTTAATATCCGATTGACTTTAAATTTATACACAGTGTTTAAAGTCATGAGACGAAGAAGCCTATTGATTTTCAGCGATTCCCAATAAATACTGCCTGAGTTATGGCCCTTGATCCCTTTGAAAAATATTGTGGATGCTCTAGAGACTAAAGTTAAACTTCTACACAGTGTTTAAGGTCATGAGACGAAGAAGCCTATTGATTTTCAGCGGTTTCCGATAATTACTGCCAGAGTTATGGCCCTTGATCACTTTGAAAAATCTTTTGGACGCTCTAGAGGCTAAAGTTATCATCCGATTGACTTTAAATTTATACACAAATTTATACACAAAAAATCTTGTTTATGCTCTAGAGGCTAAAGTTAATATCCATTGACTTTAAATTGATACACAGTGTTTAAGGTCATGAGACGAAGAATCCTGTTGATTTTCAGCGATTTCTAATAATTTTTGCCAGAGTTATGGCCCTTGATCACTTTGAAAAATCTTGTGGACGCTCTAGAGGCTAAAGTTAATATTCGATTGACTTCAGATTGATACACAGAGTTTAAGGTCTTGAGATAAACAAGTATATTGATTTTCAATGAATCTTTAGGACTTGAACAGCTAAAGTTTTGTATACTAAACATTAGCATGTGGCAGAATTCTAATGGTTTTCTGATAATTACTTAAGGAGTTGTTACTCTTAATCAGATTTTAATGTATTATAAATGTTTCATTACCGAAAAAAGTAAAAATATGCGACAACTCTTGTTGACTGCCCGGACGATATATAGCTGCTGTGGGCATATGTTTCGTTGCCTGGCAACCTATTTTTAAGACAAAACGAAACCTCAAATAATAGGCTTTATATAGATCGTTGGCAATTATCAATCCACTATAATCATTAATTGAAGACAAATGATCAGTATTGTATTATTCAATGACGCGATCCAGATCATCAGCTAATTACTAAAAGTTATTAGTTGATGTATGCTGCCTGTTCGCCACGTGGGGGGTTTATTCCAGTCAATTTACCAAGAAAAACACTCAACCTAGAACAAATTGCAAAAGAAATGGTTTTAATTCTATCAACAACTTTGAAGGTCTTAGAATAAAAAATGTAGAAAAATTCAATAAGTGGAACATTTTCATTTTTCATGATGAATACACCCTATGACGTGTGTTTGAGATCCCAAATATTGCAATTTTAAGGAATGTTAAGGACATATTGCGAGACAACTGCGTCATTTGAGCACATATCAATACATTCTGTTGTTGATAATGGAAGTAAATTATGTGTAGCAATACAAATTATTGGAGACATTTAATTGGCTGATACTAACCCGTTTATCCATACTATAAGTCTGAATAATTGAAATCATCAGACAATTCCAAATTTTCCCAATTATGTCCAAATTTGTGATAGTTTAAAGTCAGTTATATCTACAAAGATACATTTTGTGTATGTACACTGCGTTTGCCTGTATATTCCACTAATACTGGTCACAAATAATGAACTGTTCATCAGTCAGGTTACACATGGCGTTACTGCACGCTACACCCCTGCATTGTCCACATGCCACTGAGCATTCAAGACCATGTCTTCTGCAGGTGCACCTTCTGCTGTCACACTCTGTCTTACAGTTGCAGCGGATTACTCTCAGAAGTGTGTCTGGAGCTGGAGGTTTATCTGTTGTGCGTGGTTCAAGTTTGTCCGCCACTTTCATCCACCCCCAGTCTTCGGGGTCCAGGGAGCCACCATCTCCCATCCATTCCCTGACCTGGAGATAAACACGAGCACTATGGTAGCGTGCTGCTGCTGATGTGGGAGGCAGTGTGTGAACCTGGACATAGGAAGAACTAGTTGCAACTTTTTCAGAGAAGCGCCGATACCGCAGACTATCTAGACTTTCACCCGGTAGTCCATTGTACAGGCAGACAATGATTGCTTCTCCAGCTGACATGATATTTTCTGTTGGTTGGTCGGTACAGAACTGATGAACTTGTTCCCTGAAATAGCTGTCCTTCAGGAGTTTCTTCAGGACAACCCCCTTTCCTATCCCGAATAGGCGTGATGTGGTGTCACATCCTCCAGCTGCATGCACATGGGGCAAGTAGTAACAAATGTCACTGCCTAAGTTCATCTTCAGTTCAGTTATGTTCCACACCCTCTGTTTCTTCGCCATCTGTTTTCCCTCAGACATGAAGTAGAGTCCCGGAGATGTTGGTTCAGCATGAAAACACAACAGAACAAGGAGATCTGTGTCCTCACCTATGACTGTGGTTGGGCAGCTAGATGCACTCTCCACTGCAGTCTGCACAATGAGAAGGTCGGCATCACCTCTGGCGTGAACGGTCTTACAACCCTTTTCTTCAAGTTTCTTGCTGAGCATGTTGATGAATCTCTGCTTGTTTGAGGAATTGGCCAGGAAATGATCCTTCCGTTTTGCAAGTGGCATGTCTTCAACAAAGATTACCTCTGGAGCTACCATACCTCTTGAGCGCCACATGTGAGCTCATGGGTATTTCCGTGATACATGGTCAACGTACATGTTAAAGATTGTGGCAAATGTGACATTTCTTGGCCACAGGATTTTCTGAAGGAGAGATCCACCATCCAGGACATGAACCATATTATGCTCTTGTGATACTGACATTTCACTTCCCTTTCCTGATATCCGTAATGCCTCAGCCAAGGCAGGTTTGTTTGCTGCTCTCATAAGTCCAGATGGCTCAAAAAGACAAGAAGGAAGAGTACTGATTTTATACTTGAAGATTTCAGAAATGTCCTCTGCATTCCTCTGTGCTGCTGTCTAATCGCTGGAAAAATAACTGGGAATCCACATTGATTACATCACCATCAACCTTCGCTGAAGACTTGATATCCATTTTAATGACCTGCTCTTTCTTCTTGAAGGAATACTCAAAGACTTGTTTACCCACCATTGACTGTAGGATATGGTTTCCAACTTTCAGTCCTCTGTCAGCATTAACAGTGTTACCTGCTGTTACACCTGTGGTAATGTTGCGAAGTGAGGTATCAGAGGTGAATGGATCACGTTCTTGCAGGAAAGCCAAGAGTTTGTATGTGTCTTTGTCATCACGTTTCTGTCTGGCAACTGTCATGTCTTTGTGTTGTTCGTTGGTAATGTAGTCTGTATCAGTGAACTCCTGCATTGCATCGCTGATGTCAGCACAAGCTGGCATCGAAAGTAACCACTGTGTGTCAGTCCACCACTGGTTTTCATGTTTCTCATCAGTGTTTGCTCTATGACTAGGTCTGATGACAAACCAACCCAATATCTGTCACTGCGTCGAATGACATGGAAGCCAGATGTAAACATAGCATATACCACTGGGTGCCTTTCCTCAAGGTGCATCATTTCTTGTTAATAGATGTGTACAGATTTAGCATTCAAGTTGTGTCCTGTGGCAGCGAAGAATGGCAGAGATAAAGAAGCCAGTGTCCTGTTCTTTCTGCTTTGATGAACATGCGTAGCAAATCCACCATCTCAATGTACTGTATCCACAAAGTTGCTGTCTGAGAAGGAGCTAGAGACGCCGTCACTATTTGAAGTTTCCTCTGTACACTATTGAGAGCTTCATCCTGGCACACAGCATCACAAGACACTTCACCATACAGTAGTTGGTCAAAAAGGTTGTTCTGAGCGAAGTGTTGGATGACAGATTGATGAGTCATTTAACTTGCATTCTTTCTTCAGATCTTTAACAATGACATTTTTGTTACAATATTGCTGACGGCAATCAAGATGAACAGACTGTCCTGGTTTGGTAGAAATACTGTCCTTTCTCAAGATACTGGCACTATTTATTCCACAACTTCCCTTCTCTCGTAGTACAACCGTCTTCTGCCCATTTGTAAGTGGTGTATTGCAGATGACACAAACATCCATGATGGCTCAACTGAAAAAGACAAGAAACGAATTTTAAGTGAATTGTGAAATAAGAGCTCTTATTTGGTTATATTATCAAAATAATGAATAAAAATATAAACAAAACGGTAAACAAAAGGGTATTTGAGGATAAAAGCTTTTAATTTATCGTCTTTGGGACGCTACATAGATTTTTTTACGCAAAAAACCTCAAAAACCGGGAAATGAAAATGACCCAAAAACGTTTCCATACTTTTTTAATCCCGTGAAATGAGGGGCTAGTAAATATGTTTTTCTCCTGGTATAAACTCATAATTAAACTCGTTATTTTGAAAATATTGATGTTGTTGAATCTTTCACAACATAAACACATGATAAGGTTACCTGATAATTTATAGAATTGGATAAAATTGTCTGAATAGCGGTAAATGATGACGTCATTCGGACGTCTCCACAGATTCTAAATATTTTGTGATATTAACATTTTCATCGTGTTTTGGTTATTGCATACGCTCATTTTATGTTTAGACATGTAAATAGGCATATACTTACTTTGCAAATGATTCCATTTTGATGAACTCTGTTTGTTTTTCAATTTGCCGTGAACAGCGTCAACGTCTTTCTTTGTTGTTGGTATTGCGAGTTGTCTCCCTTTGCGCCTACAGAGGTCTTTATGGGACACCATCTTCGCGGTTTTTGATAGCGAGTTTAAAGTTTTAAAAAAACAATGTTGCACCACCTACATTTTTCTACATTTTTGATATGTTATTTTACTGATACTAATCCTTCATTTCCAACAAAAAACGTTTCTTTTGCAATTTGTTCTAGGTAAAACTAGAGATTGACTGGACTAGTTGGATGGCTGAATGGTTAGTGTGTGCGCGCGCTGTATCTTAAAGTCTGTCATAGAGTCAACTGGCGTGGTTTCGAATCCCCGGTTGTACGTGGCAAGGAGTTGTGTCGCCTGTCCAACCTCGTGGGTTTTCTCAGGGTCCTCCGGGTTCCTCCCACTGCTAAAGACCCCTACGCGCAAGCGAATTATGTAAATAAAATTAAACCATATGTTAGTCCCAAAATGACCTAGTTTGTGTCGAGTGGATGTTAAACCCCATTTCTCTCTCTCTCTCTCTCTGTTCGCCACGTGGTACTGGTTGTGATACTGTCCGATATGCACAAATATCGAAAGGAACTGAGATCTTTGGGTTATAAACTTACATTTCAAGTTTCAACAAAATCGGATAAAAATTGTGACCTCTATAGGGTCCACAAGCTAAAAACGTGATTTTTCGTACAAACAGGGGCCATAATTCATGAAGTTTCGATCCGATACATGCCAATATTGAAAGCAGCCGAGATCTTTTGGGGATAAACCTATATTTCAAGTTTCATCAAAATCGGATAAGAATTGTGACCTGTAGAGAGTCCACAAACAATTGTGGACGGACGTCCGGACGGACAGGGGCGACGGCATAATACGTCCACATGAAAATGTGGGCGTATAAAAATGTTTTAATATATATCTCTGCTATACCATAGTCACAGTTCATTTCGAAACTGCCGGACAAAATAACCATTCCCTGTCCTCAAATAATGTTAAAGTATTAATATCAAGGTTGTGGACCCTTTAAAAGTCACAGTTTTCATCAGATTTTGATGAAACTTAAAATCTCAGTCCCTTTCAATATTCGTGCATTTCAGACCAAAACTTCCTTGATTGTACGAAAAATCACGTTTTTGTTTTAGCTTGTTCTCTATCCATCTCTTGCAAAATGTGGGCGTATCTTGTCTGGCAACTGCTGGTTTATTATACGATAATCATGTACATAGCTTGTTGACCCTCTAGAGGTAACAATTTTTATTTTGATTTAAGCTCAAACTCGTATCTTTGTTCAAATTTGAATGTTGTGTGACATAGCAGTCATTGTCAAATTTGTGAAAGATTATGTCTGAAATTAATGATAATGAAAAAAAAAAAATACATATTAAATGTCTAATTACAATACATTCAAAAGGTTTTTTCTTTCTTTTTTGCAGTTGTAATCGGCAGTGACATGTGGATATTTTTAAGTCAGGTGTATTTTGATATAACATGTAGATTCACAACTTAATAGTTTTCTTCATTTGTGACTAGGTTATGTCTGTTGTAATTTGGATACATGTATGGTCAAGATCATGGATGTGCACAGATCATCCTGACCTTGACCAAGACAATAATTTGCCAAGTGTAACTTTCTGATATGTAAATAAAAAGTGAAATATTGATCCTGTTTAATCTTCTGTCAAAATTTTTGAATGGTTCCAGTCTGAATTTTCTGTACAGGTGCGACTTCAAAATCTGTGCACATATACCTTTGCAGTCCTGTCAAATATCATTGATATAAATTTATTGATTCCAAATTTATAGTCATGGGGCAGTTAGATCAAAACTCAATTATTTGAACAATTAAAGACAAAAAAATAACTGTGGAATTTCCTACAGAAAACACTATAAAAAAATCTATAGAATACTATAGTATTTTCCTATAGAAATTTTAGCATAAATCTGTAGGACAAATTATAGGATTTGCACTACAGAAACTGTAACATTTTTTTGGGCTGTTATTTCCTACAGGCCCCAAAATTCTGGAGAATTTCATCCGATAGAAAATGTGATAGCCCCCCCCCCACACACACACACACACACCCACACACACACACACACACACGCTAGAATATTCTGTAGAAAACTACACTGGTAATCTATAGGAAAGTTATGCCATCATTAAAAAGATAACGAAGCCCTACACCTTTGTTAAACATACATTATGCAAGAGCTAAATCTGCCTATTGCAGGTCTTTCTTTAGGCCTGAAATGTTTTCTAAATTATTAATTAGATGTTAATTAATTTATCCAGATCATAATCAACTCTCGATGGCATCGCTAGCCTGCGATATTTACTGGATTTGGATCTGATATGCAGCTCAACTTTCATTCATGATTAAATCATGAAATGGATAATCGAGACTAGGTTTTTTATAGTGCCGACTTTAGTAATGGTGATCGAGGCTCGGCCGAAAATTCAAATGCTAAATTCTCGGTTGAGAGTGGATCAATTTGACTGAAATTTTAAACAAATTCCCTTTACATTATCTAGTTTTTATACGCCCACATTGAAATGTGGTCGTATATTGTCGTCGCCTCCGTCCGTTCGTCGTCCACAATTGCTTGTGGACACTCTAGAGGCGAAAGTTAATATCCGATTGACTTTAAATTTATACACAGTGGATGCTCTAGAGGCTAAAGTTAATATCCGATTGACTTTAAAATTATACACAGTGTTTAAGGTCATGAGACGAAGAAGCCTATTGATTTTTAGTGATTTCCGATAATTACTGCAGAGTTATGGCCCTTGATCACTTTGAAAAATCTTATGGACACTCTAGAGGCTAAAGTTAATATCCGATTGACTTTAAATTTACACACAGTGTTTAAGGTCACGAGACGAAGAAGTCTATTCATTTTCAGTTAGGCCCTTGATCACTTCAAAAATTCTTGTGGACGCGCTAGAGGCCAAAGTTACCATCCGATTGACTTTAAATTTATACACGCTGTTTAAGGTCATGAGACGAAGAATCATATTGATTTTCAACGATTTCCGATAATTACTGCCAAAATTATGGCCCTTGATCACTTTGAATGATCTTGTTGCGCTCTAGAGGCTAAAGTTATCATCCAATTGACTTCAGATTGATACACCGAGTTTAAGGTCTTGAGACGAACAAGTATATTGATTTTCAATGAATTTTTATACGCCCACATTTTCATGTAAGTTGATATAAAATAATTAATAGAATACAATATCAAAAAAACATCGTTTTTAAGGAGTCTAACGTGAGCGCGAGTCACGGGGAAAAACACTCCAGAATTATGGCCCCTGATTGTACGAAAAATCGTGTTTTTAGCTTGTGGACCCTATAGAGGTCATAATTTTTATCCGATTTAAAAAAAAAACGTATTATTATAGCACCGTTACATCTAAGGACGGCTGAGTTCGAATTTCGTGAAAATCGGCCCAAAACTGACAGACAAAATGGCCGCCCCTCGTTCTCAAATAGCGTAAAAATATGGTATATCAAGGTTGTGGGACCCTATAGAGGTCACAATTTTTATCCGATTTTGTTGAAACTTGAAATGTAAGTTTATAACCCAAAGATCTCGATTCCTTCCGATACTTGCGCATATCGCATTGTAATTTCCTGAATTATGGCCCTTGATTGTACGAAAAATCGTGGTTTTAGCTTGTGGACCCTATAGAGGTCATAATTTTTATCCAATTTAAAAAAACCGTATTATTATATCACCATTACATCCTAAGGACGGCTGAGTTCGAATTTCGTGAAACTCGGCCCAAAACTGACAGACTAAATGGCCACCCTTCGTTCTCAAATAGCGTAAAAATATGGTATATCAAGGTTGTGGACACTATAGAGGTCACAATTTTAATCCTATTTTGATGAAACTTGAAATGTAAGTTTATAACCCAAAGATCACGGTTCCTTTCGATATTCGCGCATTTCGAATGTAACTTCCTGAATTATGGCACCTGATTGTACTAAAAATCGCGATTTTAGCGTGTTCTCTATCCATCTCTCAAAAATGTGGGCGTATCCTGCATGCCTGGCAGCCGCTGGTTTATTATAAGTAACTTCTTTTTTATTATTAAAAATGAATTATTTTTATTTAATTGACTTTGATGGAAACACTGGGTCAATATAATGGACATTGCAATGGTTGAATTGCTGTCAAAAAATGAGGTATTACTACGCCGTAATCAGGGGCGGATTGGGGCCGGGAACTGGCCAGGGCTCCTGTGTCGGAGCGGCCCCTTTTACTGACCGCGGGGGCTCTCCCCTGGGAAAATTTTGAAAAATGAACCCAAAATATGCGATTTGGTGGCATCTGATTATAATCCCTGTCAAATAATATATCTGATAAATCGTTTAATTTAGGCCAAAACCCCGACCTGCAAGTAATTTACAACTATCAACCTGTGAAATTATCATATCATAATATTATTAATTAACGTATTATCATTGTATCGCCAAGAGTCAAGAGAATTTAACTGGTTCCAAAATGGGGCTAGTTGAGAAAATGTTGACCATTTGATTAACCAGTTAGGAATATTGAATAAGTAGGAATATTTTCATTGAATAATGTCCCAATTTTCTTGCCGGGAGCGCTAGTTGATTCGTCCTGTGATGGAAGGCCACAAGACACATTGGTACAGAGTGACGAAAGTGAAATTCATGAAAGCTGCTTTTTGAATCTTGGATTTGTTCGGATGAAATTCGGAATCCCCATTGCAGGATTCCGAATTCCGGCCCACACCCAGGACACCCGACCCAGAAAGTTTATTATACCAGCCCATACCAGACTCCAGTATACAACATGATTATTTTTTTCATTTTTTAAGCCCTTCGGGCGATCGCCCAATGGCCCAATCCGCCCCTGGCAAAGAATTATATTTATTTATTTGTGCATGTAAGAAGGGAATGTGTGATAAATAAAATCTCCTACTCGTCTTTTTGGATATCAAAAAATATCAACACTCGTCGATAAAGTAAAAAAAGCTCGCAGATCTTAGGGGTTTTTTTTTTTTACTTTATCGACTTGTGTTCATATTTTTTGATTTCAAAAAAGACTCCTAGGAGATTCTCTATATAAATGTTTCATTACCGAAAAAGTAAAAATATGCGACAACTCTTGTTGACTGCCAGCTTTTTATCAAATCTCCCATAATGTATCATCAAATATAACGACAAGTTAAGGACATGTGAAAGCTAACAGGGCTTCCAGCAACAGACTTACAGTACTTTTACTCCGTTAAAAGATACCCAATACCACCACGTACTACAACCTAATGAGAACGGTAATTGGCTGATTGGGACCATGGCTGATTGGGACCCGGCTGACTGGGACCAGATTTGTGGCTGACTGGGACCAGATTCTTGGCTGACTGGGACCAGATTTATGGATGATTTATGGATGATTGGTACCACGACAAGGCTCATTCGGACCATTACTTAAATGACGCGAGTATTTAAAATATGTTTGCATATTTTTATAATAAGACAACTATGACAATAAATAGAGTAATTAGTCACAAATAATAGTGTAATTAGTGAATGACGGCTTCAATACAAATGAGCTAAATCACAGAGAAGATGCTTCACATTCTTGGCTGATTGGGACCAGATTTCTTGGCTGATTTGGACCATGATCAGGTGGTCCGAATCAGCCTAGTGGTGGTCCCAATCAGCCTGGAATGTGGTCCCAATCAGCCTGGAATGTGGTCCCAATCAGCTTTGACTTTTGGCCCAATCAGCCATGGTCCCAATCAGCTTGGTTCCATGATGCAATAATGTGCTAGGCCGTGGACTGGGCAAGATTATCTGGCTTAGATCTTTACTCTCGTTAAAACGTCTGGGGCTGCCTTTCCCATTTTTTAAATTGATAGATACAGCAAAAATGGTGTTTTAACTAACACACTTCACATGTCGCCGAAAGTGTGTATAATATTTATAACATTATCTGAATAAGAATTATATTTTTTCTCGCCACAACACAAAGTTGCTACAATAATTGTTGGGGAAGGCCTAGGGACATATGGCTCAGAGCTATAAAACATTATTTATCTAACTTGTTTTTTTCACTCAGCTGAAAATTCATTCAATTTCAACGGCTTTATTCATTCAATTTCAACGCCTTTTTACTAGCTTGAATCTGAATATTGGAGAAAACTTAACTGAGTAATTCCTTGATGCTACACTAAATTTGACTAAACTCTTAGCTGAGTAAAAAAAAAAAATTTGGGCTAGGAGAGGGGTCAAATGAACCTGTGAGTCACCAAACTCATTTTCCATCAGGCCATAATTACATTAGGCCTCTATACTAAAATTTAATTTCTCATCATTTTGCAAAATAAGTTGGGGCAGAATTTTCGATCAACCACTGGTTATTGCTCGTGTCTAAGATTGACAAGCAAAACAATGCTATATGTAGGTGAAAAGAGTATAGCAATTGACATCCCCTAAAGGCAATGCACAAAATAAGACCAAGCATATTGTTAATTCTAGAAAAACAGTCATAACAATGCATACTGTAATAGTATGTTTGAAAGATCTCAAATTATTTGCAAAATCCAATTAAGAACTCATTTGTTCAAAAAAATCTTATGTAGACTAAAACTGAATAGACATATATATATAGTTTATTGCTCTTA